ACTGTACAGGCTATGCATGTAGTTCAAAAAGCCAATTGTACATGTTGACTAACATCACCGTTCATCTGCAGTCTAGGTTGGAGAAGACGGGAATGTGTGCTTGTAGATGGAGGTGTCAGATGTGGGAGTGCGTCTCACTTTAAAAAGCTGTAATTCCCCTAAATTACACACACCGCTCTGATGCATCCTACTAACCGGGGGTAATTTAGCATTTTGCTGCAGTCTGTCTTTTTTTTCAGCCCCTGAATCAAAGCGTGCCCCGGCATCAAAATGCCTGAAAGCTGTTGCTCTACAGTGATAAACTAAAAAACAGATGAGGGTGCTGGAGCCAAATTCTGTCAGTTTAAGAGGACAGGAAGAGAGATCCCTGTATAGGTGTGGGTGTGGGTGTGGGTGTATGTGTATGTGTATGTGTATGTGTATGTGTATGTGTATGTGTATGTGTATGAGTATAATAGGCTACAATTGTCCCATTAGCCTTGTTATTTAGCTATCTGTTCCTCATCAAACCCCACCTCACTAAACACTTCCTGTCAGTTAAGAGGGGGGCTGAATGTAAAAGCTTGTGGGGGGTGGTGTGTGTTTTTGTGACTATGAAAGTGCATTTGTGTCACTTTAAGTGAAAAAAGGTGTTTAAACATGTTGTTTACATTTTGTAGTTCGATTATGTCTGCAAAGGAGTGTACATGTGTAAATGTGTGTGTGCAGTCCCAGTGCCTGAGGCTCTGTCCGCCTGTGAGGGCTAATATTGACCATATGGTACACAACATGAAACACTACTACTTACACCAAAGACACAGTACCACACTAAACACACAAATGCACAAAAACACAGCAGGGTCTGGTGCAGTACAATTTCCCCGCAGGTCTCAGAAATCAGAGTTAGATCTACATTTAGATACAAGAGCAGAGGACAGATATGCAGAGATTGAGAATGGCTTAGAGTCAGTTTGAGTTAGTGGTGTGTGTGTTTGTATGTGTGTATAGTGAAAGTTCCCCAGCAGGGAAAAAATGTCATCCCCCAGAGCCTATCTCACACTGTAATAATTTGTCCCAGTGCTGCTGGAGACACGCACATATATAATCTCACAAACTAATACGTATATGCAGGGGACATCTGCCTCTGCTGCACTGACATTCATGGTATAAATACACATACAGCTACACATGCAAATACATTCTCATCTCTTCACTGTGTCCCATAAAGAAATATACTGTCTGCATGCACACTCACACAAATCTATTTGGCACTAATAGCAGCATAAACACCTCTGTCGTGATCTTTAAAAGCCTAATTTATTGACCACCTTACACACTCTCTGTCTCGTTCCCTCTTCATCGTGCACAGTTTCCGTGCCTCCTAATAATGTTGCAATGGTGCTTTGCAAAAACAATCTATTGTGGTACAGCAGGTGAGAACAAGTAAGTTACTCTGAACAGATAGAGAAACAGACATTGGTAAATAGGTAGTGGCTCAAAATGTGTCTTTGACTGGTTGGTAAAGAATGTAAGATAAGTAAGTGGTGGAGGAATTTAAGTTGTATATAGAGCGTGTTCTTCAGAAATCTTACATCTGTGAAATCATTTTCCTTTTAAGGTATTTATCCAAAATGTAATACCTACAGTACATGGTGGTCTTCACGGCCCCCAGTTTGGATAAGCTGTCTGGTGTACCGTGAGGGAACCAACGTAATGCACAGCTGTGGACAGTCTTTGGCGCCAAAAAAAGACGCACCTAGAAAAAGATCCACCTAAAAAAATCAATATCAGTTTTAACGGTAGGTAATATTTAGAAAATGTTCACCGCTTGAGAATGAAACCCTTCAAAACACAAAAGTCACACAATAAAACAAACAAACTAACCCTTTAAGCAGCAGTGCACCAGTAACTTAGGTCTTGTGCAAGTCAACATTAATGCTCTTGCTAAATTAATCTGCTCGCTTTGAAGAGAGATAGATAACAGGTTTTGTTCCCTTGCAGAAAAGGCTCTGACATCAAAATATAGCATACACTCAAACTGAGATTTATATTTTTAGATGGACTCTCTTTGAGGTTGCTAAAAAAAGTGTTGCTGCTGCCCCTATCCACAGCAGAACCTTGCTTCACATCCCTGCCATAATACCTGTATTGTTCACCAAACTGGGCCTATATTTACTGTGATACACTGACTTAGTACCTCATACAACCCCACGATGAACAATGCAAACTATTCCTTAAATACTTAAACTTTTTTAATTGGTGTAGTTCCCTATTATGTTTCCCTGGGGCCTTTCAACCCACTGCAGAAAAGTTAGCTTTAATTTTGAGGAAATAATAAAAGGCATGAGAGGGCAAAGAGTATACGCTGCGTTGGGCATGGACTGTAGATTGTAATGGTATGTGATGGCTTGACCACAGAGGTCAGTTGTGGTTTTAAGAAAACCTCAGCCAAACATAACAGTAATATGGCTCCTGACTGGCCATGGAGAATATGCCCTCATTTTCATCTATATAAATAGATTTTCTTTTTCTTTACTTCCCACATTTCCACAGCCAACAAACCGCTCCTGTGTTCGTAGGTCTCTAAGTAGCTTGTGAACTTCTCACTTTGACACTAAAATAGTCATCGCATGTACTCTCGAGGTTGAGAATGGTGAGTTAAAAAGGGTATATCCCCATTTGAGTCAGTAAGCATGGCATATTTTAGTTAGATGGTAGTTACATGTTTTCCCCTGATACCATTCTGTATGCTAAGCTAAGCTAATTGCCTGCCAGCTCCAACTATAGACTTCAAGCACAGACCTGAGAGTGATTTCAATCTTCTCATTGAACTCCCAAAAAGAAAGCAACATTTAGCTATTCTTGTAGTGTTTCATTTTTAAGATGGAGTGACTTCCGGTGAAACATGAAATCACAAAAGTGAAGCAGCAAAATAATTACTCAGGGCAGAAAAAGAACAATGGAGAACGATGGCAACAGTTTACAGAGCTTGTTTGCTGTCACTCAAAGACACTAATCCTTCCTAATGGAAAGAACATTGCGGTGTGTGTGTGTGTCTGTTGGACATTAAAATTCAACATCAGAATGTTTTTTCAATCATTTAAACTTCAAATATTGACCACAACACACATCTTCTAGTGTTGACATGTTCAGTAAATTCAAATGGCAGTGAAATTAATTTCCAAAATAGAAAACAGACTTCCCCCAACCAGGATATACTGCAACAGATGACTGGCAATGTTGCTGTTAAAAACGTTCTGCTCTTTAATGAATGCTACTCTTAGCATCACCCGAACCGTGAGCACAAACCCACAACTAATTAAAAAAACAGCCCCAAAGCTGTTACTGACATGGCTAATGTGACAGAGGTATTTTCAGTGTGTTCAAGCCGCCATGCTTTCTAGCTGTATGTGTGTTTCTGTGTTTCAAACGGAGGGTTGTAAAAATGCTTTATGGCATCTCCCGAGAACAGTGACCTTTACAAAAAGCCACTGATCTGTTCAAAACAACATGATATACTGTGTGCATGTGTATGCACAACCATGCATGTGCATCTATGTCCATGCACACGTGCATGTTTCTGTGTGGTTATGTGTGTACCTGGTCATGTGCGTGGGTGTGTGTATGTGACATGATGTACAGCCAGTAACATTCTAACCCATAGCCATCATTAACTTTGACGTACAGCCAAATGTCGTTATGTATGGTCGGCTGCATGATTTACTGTTAGAGATATAATGGAGTGGCTACTGTAATGAACTTGCGGAGTGTTTGATGTACGGTGCTCTGCTGGAGCGAGAGAAGTAAATACTATGACCGTGATGGCAACAATTACAGTGATGATAATAATGATGACATTCCCTTCCTCACTTGCAGATGCGGGTGAAGTTTCTGGAGGGAGGATGAAGGGAGGACAAGAAGGAGTAGGAGATGAAGAAAACAGTTTGAGGAGATGGAGGAAGAGGAAACAGAGAAGGGGAGGAAGGAGAACGGTTGTAAGCTAGCTAACTTTGATGTTTTGACAGCCAGACACTGCTGGAGGGAGACCAGTGTGAGCGCTGAGGATGATGTTAATCAACGATAATGACACTGATGATAGAGAAGTTCACCCAGTCTTTAAAGTATTTCATTGCTAAAGATCTGTGATGCTTCAGGATGTCCTTGTGGTTAAACTAGGACACCCTGGTGGACAACAAACACCCTGCCTCCGTGTCTTTGAGCGATGCTGCTTTGCAGCTGACCTTGTGCTTTGACATTCCTGAAGGGGAGTGAGATAAAGGAAAATCCCCTTTCCGAGATCAAGAAGTATCATATTGTTACCAAAACGATTTGGATGAATAGGAAGGGAGAAATGACGAGGGAGAATTTTAGGGAGAAGCTAATAAAGAGGGAAAAGGAGATTTATTTTAGAGATCACTACTGGGAGGTATTGTTTTGATGGCTAGAGCTAAAAAAAAAACTAAAATGCACAAGGCGAGGAATTCCTTTGTTAACCTCCAGCTATCGCTACTGATGCAATATTATATTTTTACAGCAATATCAAAACATTATATGCTTCACATAGTGCTCGTGTAGTTGTATACCGAAGACAATGTAACCTTTTTTTAAATGCAAATCATCCTGATATTTAGAGATTGAACAGAGCTTTAAAACCTGCCTTGAGAGAACTGAGCTGCAATCTCACCCTCAACCTCACACACCTCCTCCCCTCCCCTCTATCACTCTCTCTCAAACACAGAGCAGAGCTAACTGTCACCCAAACACAGTCTGACTCTGCCCTCTAATGGCTAAACTACCTTCTGGAGTAATATTACCCTGTATTTTTTAGTGAGATGGAAACAAAGCAAGTCAAATATAGGGAAAAATATACACTCAAATAATATTTAACGAGTATGCATTTTTTTTTATACAATTGTATTATGTCACAAAGTTAAAGCACTGCATGTTATGTTCCTTACTTATGGAAATAAGAGCACTAACTGAACAGATCATTCGGTTAATGAATGACACAACAGACTTCCTATCCATGTATGCAAAGAGGCATCATTTATTTTGGCTACTATTGCAAGTATGTACAGTACAGTGTAATATAGCACAGGTATAGTGAACTCAATATATTAATTAATTCCTCTGTTCCAATACATTTCAAATAATTTTGGGTGACAAATAATTGCATGGTGCAATCAATTGACTTTTATGTTAGGCCAAACCTTTCCATGTAATATCTTTAACATTTCTAAATAGCATCTGGCTCTATTCCTGAAACAGGTATAAACCCTGTCATAGATTTCAGAGGAGCAACACTACACCCAAGCTGTTTTGTTTTTTTTGCAACATTTTGAGAGTGTCTGTTGGAGTTTTCCCCTTAAATATTCTTTGTGTCCTCTTTGCAGCCGCAGAATGGAAAAGTCCCACAGCAGGGCTGAAGCCAGGGTCTCCACAGAATCTTATCCCATGTCATCTGATTCTGAACGCTGTGTGCCTCTGAATTGGATTCTGAATGAGTATCACCAGACACCTGCTGGTGTGTGAGGGTATTTCGATGTTTCTCCACAGCTTTGGCAGTCTGCTCGAGGATTTCAGCATATCGCGGCTCAGTGTCTGGGGTCAGTGGGCTGGACTCTGAAGGGTCGTGGAAAAGGTCGTACAGCAGCGGTGGGTTGTGGTGCGTCACATGATCTCCATGACAAAGACATACCTTAGTGTCGTAGCATCCACCGGTTCCAGGCGGAGAAAAGTTGGGAGTAAAAAAGTGCACCTTGAAGACGGAGTCACCTGGATGGAAGCACACAACAGAAGATTGTAACTTATATAACAGTATATTAAATTGTACTGTGACAAATGAAAGCCCGATATAACATTCACACATATTTCCCTGCAGTTTCATAGATAACCTTTAAGCGAACATCTGCCTCCTTTTTAGTTTTATCCAATCAGTGTTGAGCAATGAACCCCTCAGTGGGTGCGATATTGACTGATAAAGTGTTGTTTACAGCTGCATAAACTGCTGTTCTTCCGGCATCCAGCGTGGTTATTTGACATGATAGTGACACACTTAAATGCAAGGAGAAACAACACATTATTTCAGCTTCAGAGTCATACTCTAGATACCGCTGAAATACAGAACTTCCTCAATCTGTTGTAAGATTTATTGTGAAAATACCTTTTTAAAAAGGGCTAGAGCTGCATTGGCCTTAGAATATTTTTGGTTGACGGTGACCCTGGGCATCCACAAAGAAGGTGGTGCATTTTCCTCTTTAAATGTAGTTTGAGTACTAAAAAGTTTGTTTATTCCAGCTTGTTTCTGTGGTATTCTATTTGTTATTGCCTGAAGGTAATGTTTAATTTCAGTTTGGCATCAACACAGGAAACTTTAATTGCAGAATAAAACTTCCATCGCCCTGCTAACTTATTGAATTGATCTCTATGTCGACATGTGTGAACTTACTTCCAGCTGGGTGCCAGCGTACTGCATTCAGATTAACTCCACAGTAGTGGAAGAGGAATTTGTGCTCTGACCGCTCTGCCTTCCCCTCCAATAGTGGCATGAGGTTATAGCCGTCTGATTGTCTGGGAGAGCGGGAAGAGAACAATTAAAAAAAGAGGTAAGAGGGGAAGGATGAAATTCAATTGGGCAAAGGAGACAGTATTACTGCAACCAAACATGCAGAAAGAGACTGTAGACGTTGTATTGATCATATTATAACTATCAAGAAAACTGAGAAAAGGAAAAAATAATACTTGTTAATACAGGATCAATAACATGTAAATGAGTTATGATAAATAAAGGTAGATTCTACATACTGTCACTTACAATGCTGGAAAAATAAGCTAAATCAGTTTCTAGCTGTAGTTGTTTACAGGTAACAAGGTACTTTTGGATCCACACTGTAATTATCTGGATACAAAACACCTACATTATAACGCTCATGTTAGGAGTAATTGTGTGGTCCTGTCTCCCCTCTTTTTGTAACTGCAAACAATGCTTTGGTGAACTGTTGTTTTCAACAAATACAGAAGCTTTAACCTTTCCCACAATAAAACTGTGGAATAAAATGAATATGACTCACACAATGTAAAGAAGGCAGACATAATCTTCACCTGTCTGGTTTAGTGTCCTTGGCCAAATATTTCAGTGTTGGATAAAGGTCCATGAGGCTCGTGGGTTCGTCCACTACACGTCCAGCGTCCAGTCTGCCAGGCCAGCGGAAAATACCGGGCACCCTGATCCCCCCCTCCCACGCTCCCATAGCTTTCCCACCTAAAAAGGTGCATAATCAGGAGCAATTACACAACATAAAATCTCCCTATATTTGAATGCTGTAAGAATAATACGTACTGCTTACAGTATAATGGCCTTTCAACCAAGAAACAAACCACATCTTTTGGTCAACAATCATAAATTCAACTTTCTATACTGAAAATAATGTTTTAAATGTGGTTGTTTTTATCAGAAATGCCAATTAAAGTGACGATTAGATGTGAAAGAGGATATGTACCTTTATAGATGCCGTTCCAGCCTCCTTTCTGTCCGGTTATGGAATCAGCATCCTCGAGGTGTCCACCATGGTCTGATGTAAAGTACATCAGGGTATTGTTGGCTAGGCCGAGGGAGTCCACCGTCTCCGTAATTTTACCTAGAAAATATAATAATATGACATTAGAAAAAAGATAAAGGGTTCAAACTCCATAGACAATATGATTGCTCTGACTTTCTTGATGGTTAAAGGACAATTCTGGCTTTTTTCAGTAGTTTTGATCATTTCTAGTGGTTAACATACTGTGTAGAACCCAGTGATGATGGGATGTTTGTGCCTGTGTGAAATGTTACACAAGCTTGTTGACAGCCAATCAGTCTGGTTTGCCACCGTCACATGAGAAGCCATTATGTAATTTTTACCAATTTTTACCAATTGCCAATATACCCACCAATCATCCAATCCACTTCTTCAAGGTTATCACCATAGCGACCATGGCGACTTTTACCAGCAAAGGCGGGGGTTTTGAAGAGTGGCGTGTGGACATGGGCCAATGAGAAGAAGAGGAGGAATGGATGATCAACACTCCTGAAGAGAAGAAGAAATACATTTTTAGGGTCATTATGATGAAGCATAAGGAGAAATTCCTCATTTTTTACTTGGTATGTATTTTATTGAGGTAAAGTATGTCTTGAAACAGTCAACACATACCTCTTTATAAAGTTTTGTGCTTCTCCCAGCAGCCTCTGGGGCAGTGTCTCCACTGTCATAGGCTGTTCGATCACTTCTTGGTCCCTCATGAGGATGCAGTTCCAAGTTCGCAGGAGTTTAAATGGCATATACCATACAGAGGTTGCTAGGATACTGACAAAGAAGAGTGCTACCAATATCCACAGGCTGACTTCAAGAAGGCCACACATACGGACACACACCTGCAAACACATAACACATGCACATAACACCCAATGTGCTTAGAAAACACACAATAAATTCAACCATTATAATGGAGTACACAGGAACAACATGAATGAAACATTATTTGTATAAAATATGTATGAGAAATTAACATTATTTCGACTTTTGCAGTGAGGGAAGGGGAAACATATGTCCAGTTAGAATTCATTCAAACAATACCACAAACTAAAACCTAACATTTAAAACTCTAATTACTAAATTAACATCTCTCTGATATGTTCTCCACCAATAATAATAATAATAATAAATTGTATTTATATAGCGCTTTTCTCGAACCCAAAGACGCTTTACATTTGGGGAAGGGTAGACAAACCAGGACAGGCAATATCAAACATTGTCAATTCCACTATTGCAGGATTATTTTCAGGACTGTTGCACTGTGTTGCATCGAACATGGAGTTGTGTAATACACTTTGTATTCCTGTGTGGATCTGCAATTTCGCGATGTTGCCACTAGATGACGTCACAAACCTTTTCTAAAGAAGTCACTGATTTTCATGAGTGAACAAGAAGAACATTGTGTCCTTTGTTCATAGATTCTGCACACTATTTACATTTAGATCTGAAAATAGTTTTATAGACTTCTGTCTTCCTGCTGAAATTAGTTCTCTATTTTGTACTGGTTTACATTTCCTCTTTTGAAGCCGTTTGTTCTACCCTTTGGCACAGCTGGTTCCTATTAATCACACAGGTACATACCATCGCCAACACCTCACTGAGTCTCACGGTTTTTTTCTTACTCATTCATAAAACAGGTTTCCAACTGACATATGCGAGTTTCACAATTGCCACCGTTGTTCCCAATCTATTTTTCTACCGTTGTTCCTGTCCAAGTGATTACGCACAAGTTATTTCGCTTCAGGGTAAAGGGTAGAGCAACTCTTTGTTTTCCAATGTCTTCCAGTTCATCTGACAACCAATACGTATCCTATCTTAGCCATCTTTTTATCATATCATGTGTCTAATTATGTCATTTCACATACAAATTTGTGAACATTCTCTAAGGAGAGAAATCGAAACTAATCAACTGAGCAAAGCACCCACCAGTGTAAAAAGACCAACTCCAAGAAACATGGTCAGACTTCGAAGTGCGTGCTGGAGGTCTGCCAAGACATCATTCCCCTCTCCGGGCACACAGTCATTGAACAGAGTGAAGGGCAGGCCGTAGAAGTAGCTGAAGCCATGCTGGTTGGGATGGTGGCAGTGGTCCCCTCTTTGTTCGCAGTTAACACCCAAGTGCCACTTACCTGCAGAGACACAGAGATAAAAAGGGATAGATTAAGTAGTACACACTCAAAAACAAAAAGACAGCTCAGAAAATTGATACTATAGCATTTTACATCTGAACAGCCACAATAGCACGATGTACAGTTTATGCCAAATGCAAAACCATATGTGTGCTACACCTGGCAATGCTTGTTAGGTTGTTGAACCTAATGCCCTCTCAAATTGCCTCCGTGTGTGCAAGTTAGAAGAGATTAGACGTTGTTCCTATACTTTCTAAATCATATAGAAGTAGAAGACAGGTCAAGCTCACACTCAATATTCTACACATTCACACTTAGCTTTGATTAACCAAGCAGATGCCATTCTGCACTGCTGACCCTTTTTAGGCACCTAGATGATGAGGAAAGTCTTACCAGCGTACATAACTAAATAAAAAGGACCAAAGAATAATTGACCACACCATGTTCTCTCACCCACTAAGCCGGTGGTGTATCCTTGTTGCTGGAGTCTTTTAGCGAAGGTGGTCTCACTGGGTGGAAGCCCCCCTGAACCTCCAAGGAACAGCAGCACCTGCACACGGCCGGTGCTTCCTAGTCCTAGTGAACAAACACATGAGAATAAATATATAAATATGGAACATATTGTCAAACATTGCTGCACAAATATGCCCAGCTTTCTCCCATTTTGCATTGGCTAATATGTTTAGGATGATCAGTTACCTGATCTAAGTGCATAACGCCCCGTCATAAAAGCGGCCCGGCTCGGGGTGCAAAGAGGCGCAGCTGCAATGTGCTGAGTCAGCTTTACCCCTTCAGAAGCAAGTCGGTCAATGTTAGGAGTCCTACAGGCACAATAGGTAAAGTTAATATGTAGAAGAGAGTATATTAAATTATAAAAATGAATAAACATAAAATTACTGGCAGCATATAAGAGTAAAACAAGAAACCGACCTTGGCCTTCTAAATGATGCAATAAGATATGATAAGATAAGATGTTCTTTGTTATCACCAAAAGGAAAATTGTCTTGCAACCAAATGCAACAGGCAGTTATGACAATAAATGAAATCAGATAATAAAAGAGAACAAAAGCAGACAATAAGTGAACAAACAAGAAAGGAAAGAGGACTATAACACTCAAGTTTGAAATTACCTGATGGTGTCATTCCCGTAGCATCCTATGTCCCCGATGCCAAGGTCGTCCACCATCATCAGGACAAAGTTGGGCTTCCTGTCTACCTCGTCCCCTGCTGCCAGGACAAGGTAGAATAGAACATGTACCAACACAGGAGACCTAAGGGAGGAAAATTAAAGGTACAGTATTATGGCTGAACCTAACAGCCAATTCATCGATTCTCAACTAATAATCAGCAAAACATTTGAAAATCCAACATTCTCTGACTTCAACAAACCTGCCAGCAACAATACAATGTTGAAGTTGGTTTGGATACTCAACAGTCATTGACTGGCTGCGTGCAGGGATGTCTAATTTTCACAGATTGTCAGTCAAAAGACCACATTATTTCACTAAGGGACCCCCAATAAATTACCATTTGAATGACCAAACCAATGTTTTTTCAATCCATAGGTGTTAAATTTCCCATATTAGTGAGATGTATGCTAAATAAAATTAGGATAAATGTGTCTTGTGTGTTTTTTGATTACCGATGCATCATGGATTTATTTAATAAAGATAATTATGTTTTTTCAATAAACATGACATGACTCACAATCCACAGCAGATATTATAACAGTACTGGGAAAGTAAGACACAGCTCCTTTTAAACAAATTAGTCCACCTTTTTCTTTCATGGGAAAGTTTTCCAATTACATATACATATGAGGTATTATTCCTACATTGGTGTTGCTTTGTGTCATTCAAAGAGTAATTTATTGATGTTCCCCACCATGGTTTCCACCTAAAACAAACCTTACTGCGATAGCAATAGTGTTTTCGCTTATTTCCTCAAATATTTCCTCTAGTTTGACAGTCCCTCTTTACAGACAAAACACAGGGTTAAGTCGAACTTTCACATAACCTGTTTGCATACCTCCCAGGATGATTTCTCCCAGAAACTCAGTCGTATATTGTGATTGCTGACAGCAGTGTGTAAGTTTATAATGCCTTCAAAGCTAAGCCTTCGATTTTAGATTGACGCATCATTTAGTGGGCTACCGAATCAAGATGTTTTACGGTAATTCAGTCACAATGCATTGATGGTGTGTTGTTTTAAAAAGGCAAAGGTAAACCTGCCATGTAGACTTACCACATATCTGCACAATACAGTTATTCATAGAACTACAAAAATGTGACACATTTCCTCCTCCGCTGAAGCCACAGGAAGCGCGCGCAGTCCCTTGGCCAATCCTGACTCTACAGTATTGACTGGTTTATGAGCGCACAACACAATTTGCCGTAATGTGTGCCGTAAAAGCGCACGTAAAAGCTATATTTTAGAATAATGGTTCCCAACTTTGATCAAATAACTACAAATAAGAAAGAAGCTCTCTCTTTATTTTCCGTTTTCTTTGTGAACTACTAACACAAACCTCTTTAGCTACTGATTTATTTGTATTTATTTGTTATTGTATCTTATTGAGCTGTCTTTGTCTCTTTTATTGCTGTAACAAATGCAAATTTCCCCTCTGTGGGACGAATAAAGGTATTATGATTTTGATTCTGATTAATATTAATTCTAATTAATATAAACTGCTTTACAGTAGGTTATCTAATCATGAACTTATAAACCATCCTGCTATTGTATTATATGTTTACATATATGTATGGAATTGTGAAATGGAAAAGTAACACAGTTGGTTTACTCAAGTACTTGCTTAAACACAGTTTGGATTTTTTTATGATTTGTATCTTACTCAGGATTCCACTTTGTGCAACTTAACTTCTTCTGCTCTTTTGAGAGTGAAAACACTCCACTAACTTCTCAAAACCCCTGAACAATCCCCGTGGGCCTTTGTGGGCCTGGTTTAAATTACCCCACAGTAAAGATATCATGTTTACTTTTAACAAATTACAATACACTGGATTTAGGTTTCGTGAAGGATCCGAATGCAGCCTTCACCTCCGGTATGTCAACCCACAGACACCAACACCAGAGAGATTTATTGATCCAACCATGAAATATAATTAGATCTAATTTACTTGGAATGAAATCAACCCAATTACTGAGTATATCAAGTAATCAAAGCATCTTGCCATGCAGGATTTAATTGAATTGTTTACTGATCGTGTGGTTGTTATAGAATGAAATGAATATGTAACAGCTGCAGGTATTATGTGTGAATACCGTTGGCAAGGAACATCTCTGAGACTCCCACAATTTTCTTCTGAGGGCCTCGGGTGTTCATCTCAATGAACCGGTCACCATCAATCATTCACCAAGCTTGAAACTGTGTAATCTCCAGGTTCACTTTGAAATCTATAAAGAGAGACTTGGCCTTTATAATTTGGAATTGAAAAACGCACGACAGTCTTTCTTCTCTGACATCATTACCAAAAACAAAAACAACGCACGTGCCTTGTTTGCTACCGTCGACAGACTAACTATCCCCCCAGTGTCAGTAGCCTCTGAATTTCTATCCACCAGGGCGTGCAATGATTTTGCCTCCTTCTTCACTGACAAAATTCAGAAAATTAGACAAGCAGTCAGTGCCTCTACATCAGGTACAGCAAATGTTTTGTCCCTATGTCCACCTAATATCAATTCAAACACCATGACACAATTCCATCAGATTAATGGTAAAAACTTAGAGGACATTATTCAACTTCTGAAATCCTCCTCCTGCTGCCTTGATATTATTCCAACAGGATTTTTCAAAGATGTTTTTCCTTGCATGGCCTCAGATCTACTTCATATAGTAAACACATCTCTTCACTCAGGTATTTTTCCAGAGGCCCTGAAAACTGCAGTCATTAAACCGCTCTTAAAAAAGAATAATCTAGATGCCTCAGTAATGAACAATTACAGGCCAATATCAAACCTGCCATTTCTAGGTAAAATCATTGAAAAAGTAGTATTTCAACAGTTGAGTAACTTCTTGCATTTAAATAACTGTTTGGATGTGTTCCAGTCAGGATTTCGTCCAAACCACAGCACTGAGACTGCTCTTGTAAAGGTCTTCAATGACATCCACTTAAACACAGACAGTGGCAGAACTTCAGTGTTAGTATTATTAGATCTCAGTGCTGCATTTGACACTGTTGACCACGACATATTACTAGACCGACTAGACAACTGGGTGGGACTTTCGGCAACAGTTCTAAATTGGTTTGAGTCCTACTTAAAGGACAGAAAAAACTTTATTTCTATAGGTAAATACACATCTGAGTTGACAAATATGACATGTGGGGTACCTCAAGGCTCCATCTTGGGGCCTCTTCTCTTTAACATCTACATGCTACCACTGGCTCAGATAATGAAAAACAACAAAATAAGTTACCATAGCTATGCGGATGACACACAAATTTACGTAACAATTTCACCAGGAGATTATGCTCCAATTCAAACACTGAGTAAGTGCATTGAACAAATCAATGACTGGATGTGTCAGAACTTTCTCCAATTAAACAAAGATAAAACTGAGGTAATGGTTTTTGGAGCCAAGGCAGAACGTATAAAAGTTAGCGCTGAGCTTCAGTCTGCAATGTTCAAAACAACAGATAAAGCCAGAAATCTAGGTGTAGTCATGGACTCTGACCTGAGTTTCAACAGTCACATTAAAACAGTTACTAAATCAGCCTACTATCACCTAAAGAACATATCTAGGATTAAAGGACTAATGTCACAGCAGGATTTGGAAAAACTTGTCCATGCTTTTATCTTCAGTAGACTCGACTACTGCAATGGTGTCTTTACAGGCCTCACTAAAAAATATATTAGAAAGCTGCAGCTAATTCAGAACGCCGCTGCACGAGTCCTCACTAACACTAAGAAAGTGGATCACATCACTCCTGTTCTGAAGTCTTTACACTGGCTTCCTGTGTGTCAAAGAATAGATTTCAAAATATTGTTGCTGGTTTATAAAGCTTTGAATGGTTTAGGCCCAAAATACATGTCTGACCTACTGCTAAATTATGAACCATCCAGAACCCTCAGGTCTTCAGGGACTGGTCAGCTTTCTGTCCCCAGAGTCAGAACTAAACATGGAGAAGCAGCATTCAGTTATTATGCTCCGAATATCTGGAACAAACTCCCAGAAACCTGCAGGTCCGCTGCAACTCTTACTACTTTTAAATCCAGGCTGAAGACTTTTCTTTTTGCCGCTGCTTTTAATTGAACTATTCACATCTTAAACTGCACTGTAACTTTTAACTTTTATCCATGTATTTTTTCTTTTAATGTTTATTTTATTATCTTTCCTTTTTAATGACTGATTTTAAATGCCATTTTAAAATGTCTTCCATTTTTGTAAAGCACTTTGAATTACCTTGTGTTGAAAGGTGCTATATAAATAAACTTGCCTTGCCTTGCCTTGCCTTACTTCTTACCTCCTATAAATAGCTGACATATCAAGCATTTCAGGTCATGTCTCATGATGCCTTTTTTTTTTTGTTCCTGAGCTTACCTAACTTTCAAACAGCCCACAGGAAATAAACTTAGTCACAAAGATAGAGGTAAATAGAGTTCAATGCAGGGACAGAGATATTAAATTCAGATGTTTTTTGATCCAAACTACACATTTTTAAAGCATTATTTATATCTTAACTGTAAAAATGACATTATTTAAATATCAGTTTTTAACATCAGATTCCCATAAAGCTGTAAAACTGTGTCATACACACTCATAACAGATACAAATATTTGGCAAGGAAATAAAACACCAACTCCCACGAAAACGGTTTAATTGACTCCTCAAACATTATTTACACAATTCCAGAAGAACAACAAGTGCCAGATGACAAAAAATGAAAAAGACTGTTCCAAAACTAAATGAAAACTTTAAATAAAAGTAGAAGACACTAGTCTATATCGAAAATGAATTGTCTAAATATGTTTAATAAACCAAGATGTATACAGGATAGGAAAGTGCTTCTCCTATATAGTTTGTGTTATTTGAATCACCTGCAAAAACATCTCTGCTTGTTTGACTGTTTACTTTCCGATGGTGACATTTTGTTCTTTATTTCCCTCTGAAATAGTCAAGAGGCGGTATAAGGCAGGACTAGTCAGCGCCATGATAGATGCCTTAGCATTATCTGCAAAGTGCACTTCAGGACCCGATAAGTCAACAACTTCCTTGATTTTACATTCTGGTTTGGAAACTATGCTCCAATAGTTTGCTAACAAGGAAGTGACTTCTTGGGACTAAATGTGGCATGGACCATGATGCTGAAAACACGTACATTCCTTGTGCAATTTTAAGAGATGTATTTTAGTTGCAGTCTTCTTTTCATCAAATCAGTCCCAGTGAGGTTTCTGAATGTGCACTGCAGGCCAGCAGAGTGCTTTTGTTGATTCCTGTGGCACTTAATGAAGTGCACAAAGACGGCGAGTACTGCATTATCAAGGAGGATGTTTTATTTTGAAGGCATCAGTGGCTATTATCTGAAAGCTTGTACTGTTATTTAGTGTGTATTTTGTGCATTATCACTTATAGCAGATGCAGTAAGAGATTTCAGACACACTCTTCACTTGGCTCCAATGTGTCAAGAGAAACTCCATCACAGATAACAAGATCAGAAGGCATTTCAAACTTTGGCCCGGCATCCAGCCCACAGTTACACAGTAGGATAAGTCAATATGTGACATCACAGACTATTATATTTCGGCTTGAGGCTAGGCTGTTAGCAACAGTCTCTGTCCTGTATTGCAGCTATATGGTGCTTTACAAGTAACACACTGTACATGAACTGCAGCACTATGCAACCTCTATAACCCTTTTTAAGGTTTAAAGGGAGCAGAGCAAGTACAAAACTGCAAGGCAACAAAAAGACATTCAGAAGTTAACTTTTTTTCTGCTACAGCCGCAAAATAACTGTTTTTCTTTTTTTAAATGCAGTAGCGCTGTTTCTGGGGCATTTTACAATGATATTCACAAAATACCACAGCAACAAGTTGGCCGCTGCTAAATGTAAAATTCATATACAAAAATCACAGGTGAATGATGTTCTTAACGTGGAAATATGAATGATACAAAAGCACTGTGACAGCAACTGGCTTGCTCGAATAAAAAGACACACAATGACAATTTGACTGCTGAAATGTGAGGCTGTTACGAGTTTGGAATGCATTATTAGTTAAAAATGTACTGGAAATTAAACAGCAAACCACCCACATATACAGCAGCTGTCACACTAACGTAACAGTTTCACATTCACAAGCAGTTTAAGGTAAGGCTTTTCTACCACCAAAATGATTAAGACTCAAATAACATAATACATTCCTCAATTGTCTAGTATTTTTTCAATACATTCAACTACTATTTTGTCTGTTTTCACTTTTTTTTAATCCCAGCTCTATTCCCTGTGTGTCTGTAGATTGGTCAAGCCAGGCTGTGTCAGTGAAGGCACTATAGAGGAGAAATTACTGCATCACAACTAGACTGACACAGACTACATCAGAACAATTTCTAATACATTACTACATGACATCTTTGAATTTGTCCATGTCAGCTAAATATTCATCCATTGACAGAAATAGAGTTGGACTAGACTTCACTTCAGCTCAGTACATTTCAAAATATAGACCTATATATAATTGTACAATATCTTATAACATTGTAATACAAATTGATTGTTTAATCAATTTGACATTAATTAGTTTGTATCATTTGAATTTTTTTGTGTTTGATTTATAATTTCACTCTTTCACTCTGATTTATTGAACTGACTGAAGAGAAGTGGTAGTCCCCCAACAGGATTTAAAACTAAGCCCCATCACCAACTAAAAAAAGACACACAGACAAAACAAGAACACACACACACACAGTGACATCAGTGGCCCCCTGAACACACATTGGACCATAAATCCTAGGATTATAATCATACACTATTTTCCTTGCCAGGGGCAGGAAATACAGTGGTACTTATTGAAGACCCCTGTTATTCATCTATCCTGCATTTCTAACGCAGACAATACAAAAATGATTTAATTAAGTTACTGTTGCCAATGGATTTTTAAAAGCATATTGGTGTCTCAAACAATGACAGAATAAGCTAAATAAAATCCACTTATACGATTTCAGTAAAAGGTTAGACCTCTACTACAACATCAATAACTTTCACTGGTTTATATTCACATTGAATTACTAGAACTAGATAGTATCCGTAGAAAAAGGTAGTTCTATAATTTTGCCATTTCATGGTTGATTTGAGATTAAATCTCTTTTATGTCCACTTTCATGATTTGGTTTAAAGTGGAAAGATGGTCTAATTGTTTCAATAATTTCCTTTGTAGTAACAATCATAAAACCCCCTTTGATTCTCTTATATTTACTCCCCACATATATGCACACACAAGACTGAACATACAAATGCAATCTCTCTCACACACACACACACACACACCACACACACACGCACGCACACAGCCCTACTCGGGCCTCACAGTCATTTAGCTCTACAGATAGAGCCTAACAGTGAGATTGCCACTTTCTTGCCAGTTGTTGATCCAAGCTGTCATGACCATTGCTGCTTTAGGAGGATTTTAGCAGGTTGCTAAGGACTGCAAAAAGAAAGAGAAAATGTCAAAAAATGGCAGATGATTATATGTGTTTCATCTTTGTATCTACTTGTGTATTGAATGTGTATGTGTGTGTGTGTGTGTGTGTGTGTGTGTGTGTGCGTGTGTGTGTGTGTGTGTGTGTGTGTGTGTGTGTGTGTGTGTGTGTGTGTGTGTGTGTGTGTGTGTGTGTGTGTGTGTGTGTGTGCGTCTTACCCTGGGGATCTGTCTGAGCCTCTGCAGTATCAGCTTTGCGGGCAGCTTCAGGATCAGCTTCTATTCACAGAGATTGACAAAGTCAGACCGAAGCAAAAACACGGTAAGAAAAAAGTGAAGGAATAAAGTCATCACGTCAGTTTGGATTTCTCAAGCATTTAGTAAGTTAGACACAACTACAGTGTGACAGTGAAAGCACCCAGGGGGTTGTACATATTTCTAGGCTCTGATTGACTAATTCCCTTTAGTGAGGAAGCATCCTTCATATTCATAAATACCAAATATATGAAAAGGGGAATATATAATTGACTTTATTTGAACATTTGATAAATACTATAGTCAGAGTAAATCCTTTTTCTGAATCTGACTTTTGCCCTACATCACTTGAGCTGAATGGCCTACTGCTGATGTTGACTGTAAATTAAAACTCTGCTGAATTGGTAGTATTGGTATGCAGGATGTGTGTGAGTGGACAGCAATTGACGACACTCTAAGGGATCAAGCTGAGTCTGCTATGTCTCAGAGAAAGACTGCTGACCTCCAGAACTTGTGATATTCAGACCCAAAGTCACACACTAACATGCCCCACCTGTCCTGAACTTGAAAAAAACTAAAACAAACGTGTGACTGGATATGCTGGTAGCTTGAGTCTAAAGACATTTTTGTATAAGTGCTGTAATGCCAAACATATCAAGCCTTGTTTACAGCAGTTTGGCATCATATTATTTGTTAGTCAGTGTGATAATTACCTTGTCTGTTTTTAAAGCACAGTTTCTTCTTATGGTATGTGTAATATCCAGTAGCAGCTCCCACTATGGCCACACCGATTGCACTCAGGATGCCTGCTACAGAGCCGGAGCTGGCCTCTGTAAGAGACAAACAAACAAAGATAATGATGACAGTGCATACTAAACATACTAGTGTTTATGATACAAATGTGACTCCTGTGTTGAATATTTGCCAGTGTAGCAGCTTAAGAGATTGTTATATTCAGCCTTAAACCTGGCTGCCACTTTGCAGTTGAGACATGAAATGGCACGCAGCAGTGAGGCTCAATGACACGAGACTTGAGCGATGCATACTCTTTTCGCAGTATTTTCTGATTCCATTTCTCTTGCCTACCCAATAATTAAGACTCTTGAAAGCATTCACAGTTACAGAATAAATCTGTCTGCACTCTGCACCTGTAACCCAGTTACCATGCCAACACAGATCTGAATAGTTTTCATGCTGTGTCATTGCAAATACCTCTCATAGTCTGTGAAAGGCACACGGACAAATGCACCACTGAGTAAAAGCCATTAATTCAACTCCAAAATAAGTACAAATAATGGCAAATTATAGTGCACTTATATGATGTGACATAAGATGCTCTAGTGTAAATAGCATAACAATCATTTTTTAATCATATGCTTACTATTTTATAGTATATACTTTATACAGTTTATAGTAGGTATTTTAAATAACTAATGATTTAACTCACCAAACGTCAGTGATCTACACTATGTTACAATACATGTTATGTTGCATTAATCAGGGTTTAATACATTGCCAGAAGAAAGCCATCAGAATTATAGTTATATTTAATGACTTTATTAAGCATCTAAAATCTTCTGAATTGGCTGTAAATGATGAAGATAGAATTCAAGATTAGAGACTTTGTTGCATGAATTATATCTGTAGATATATTATTTACAATTTCGACCTAAATATATACAAATCAAATCAGAAAGAATAGATAAGGTAATTCAAAAATCAGGATAGGCTGGAGTGGAAGAGAACAAAGGGATACATTATGTTGTGATGAGTCAGCAACTTAAACAGGTACGCATGACAACTAAAGGAGTGCATCCAAGTGATGATGAACACAGTTAAAAAAGGAGAACAAATAGGGAGTGGCATGAGTCAGAGAACCTGCGTGACTTGAGATACATGAATCAGGAGGAAATGAAGTGGAATAAATTGGGAGAAGATAGTGAATCACTACAAGGAAGTACATACACACATACAGTAGATAAACTGACAGACAGCGTGCCCTAGGGAAACACACATCTATGGGAACTGTCTGTGGCCAGCAGCCACAACCCCTATCACATTACTGTGGGCTACAAGGCTGGGGTCAGAGGTCAGAGAAAAAGTTACATTTTACAATGTGACCCATTTCCCTCATTTGTGTACAAGGCATTCTCTTAGCTGTTTTATCTTTCCTTTTGTACTTTCTCTTATATGGATACCTTTACAACTGTTATCATTGATTGTCTGCCATTTCTAAAGTAGAGCACTTTAAAAATGCATACATAAATAAAATAAATAAATCAAGTTTAGTAACTGATCCATGGCTTTTAATACTTAAACAGATGCATTGATCATCAATACAATGTCAAAGAGGTGTTCTGACTATCATAAGACTCATTAATTCATACATTCACAATATATATCATGGTTAAGTTTTAATACAAATACCATTTGGCATTTTATCACTGGAGACTTTCTGCCAATTGAAGGTCCAATCACTCTAACAGCCTGCTTGTCATTCATTACATATAAAAAGGCAGTTATTCAAGACAAGTTCAAGTTTAAAGAAAAGTTTGAAAAATGTCCTACAGCATCTGCAGCAACAACACACCTGCAGCAACACACCTGCTTAGGGCCCTACAGTTATGAAAACAGGGGACTGCTTGTTTAGGGTATGTTTAGGGCAGTGAATGGATGGCTGGGTAACTGTATTCAAAACAAAAAAAGAAAAGAGGGATAGCTCACCTTGGGCTTCAGGTTTTTCCGCTGTGGAACAGAGAACATATACATACATACCGTTAGTAACATGAAACACCATGTACTGTACATACTGGTAAAACCCTATAGGAGTTACACATTGACTGTGAAGTGAGGTACTGTTTATTTAAACATGCACAAACAGGCACCTGTTTTCCTACTGTTTGATAAAAGGGAACCGCACTTACTTCCGAGCTTCAGAAGTAACACTTGGACAGATGTGTGTAGCGTGACTACACTTCACAATGCTTTTACAGAGGAACGGTTTCAAACAGTGTTCGAACTATAGTGGAGAGGCATTTTCCGCTGAGACTAGTATCCTGTTTGTACTGTCAGTGGCATGTCAGCAATATCCTGTGTGCTTCACCAGTTTCCAGAACTACTGGACTGACGCTGGCTTGATGGGACTATTTCTTTTTATATTTTTTGATCATGAACACAAAAAGGTCTTACCTTCTCCTAAGGCGCCTGCAGCATGTGCTACAAGAGAAAGAACGACAAGTGTTTAGAGAAGGATAGGGGAAAAAGGCTAAATCATTTCATGTCTGAATGTGTTGATGCATGATAAGCACAGAAAGCGGAGAAGAAAAAGGGAGGATCAAGAGTATTTTCTTTGAGGTGGTTTATTCCTCAGAGTCATTAAAAGGCCTAGGGTTTTTGTCCTAACCGGTCTCGAAACGCACATATTAAATGTCCTTTCTGTACACTAATGGAGTTTCCTTTTATGATATCAGAGGAAGACAAACAAACACTCTTTGTGGCCCGTGCTGAACTTTGATCTGTGACATCATGCAAAACAAACTCCATTATCTCCTTCTTCGTTGCCTGCCTGCCTGTATAAGCCTGTGATGTCATTGCTGCCCTCTACAGTACCTGCTTCAACTTGACAAATCCGCTAATAACAGAGCACTAAAGGAAAGCGCCCTTTAACTGAATTATAATGATTATACTGACATAGATGAATCAGCTTTTAGATGGGGAAAAAGGAGGAAAAATCAGTTGCTGTTAAAATGCTCTATGGCTCGTGAGCAAACTTTCTCGGTGAGAGTAAAACAATTCAATCCATTCTCTTGTCGTGGGAAACAGAGATCCTAAAATGAGAACAGCATTCTTGAAGATCCAAGGGAATATGTTTAAAAGCACAGTTTATGAGGCACTGTCTTGAAGTGGCCTTGTCCTACGAAACACTCTGTGGAGGTGTGACTTTGTAGATGTGATGGCTACAGTCGGTGCAGCGATTGGTGGAAACTTCACCATTTTATTTCATATTTTATGGCATCTTTTCATTCATATATATACAAAAAAAACGTTTAATTACTCTTAGCATATCATTTTACTTGCAACCTGTCTTACCTTAATAATATTCTTGCCTGATGATTTTGATTTTATTTCAGGGTATTTAGTTTTCACTTAAAATGTAATTGTTTAAAACAAATGATTGACTTCATTGCAATCCTAAAATGTTTTACAACCTGTTTGCTCAATGTAAAGCATTTTCTAAATTTGTTTTGAAACGTGCTGTATCAATAAAAAAACGTTAGCTCAATGTCTCAGGATATATGGATTTAATACACTGTTTTTGTATTTAAAAAAAGGAAAACAAGACAATAACTCCCCAGAGAGCAATGACTGGTCTTACGAAGTCATTTTGTTAAGCTGCTTTTTTTCAGCATAAACAAAGAAATCACATACAGTATATTATAAAATGTCCTATCCACTTCCTGTTCACATGTATTTGTAAACCAGAAGTTTAGGGTTACCGGCTCAAAGTATAAAACCCTTTATGTCAGTAGAAGTTTTGACCAGAGTGGAGATGGAGATAACTCACCTCCAGGTCCCATACTGCGGCTCTTACCTGAGTTTTCCTCTGCAGCAGTTTCTTGCAGAGCATCTTCCAGGTCAAAACTCACTGAAAAAACATTAAGGCATCATTGGTGATGAAAATGCAATTTCAATCCCAGTAGGGAAATTCACTTTTCGCCACCGCGCCCAGGAGAGATATCTTCCAGATGTTCACCAAAAGCATGTCATCTCTTTAACACACGATACTTCACTGTTGCATGTTAATCTTTTTTAATAAAAACATCAGCTATAATGGGAACTCTCCCCACTTCAGTCCCTCATGGCTCCTATAGTTAATACCCTGCAGAACTGTCCTGGAAAGGAACTGTGAAACTCTACCTGCTCTCAGGGTGTGACTGTTATCCTGTGAACAAGTGTTGACTTAGATTTTAAGGATATTATCTGTCAGGAACAATACCTTAACCTGACTCTATATTTCTGGGGGAAACCCCAAGTGACGTATTACACATGTGGGACTACAAAACCGTTTTAGGCTGGGCAGGGATCAGTGAATTATTTCAGATGGAACCTAAGGGGAATCATTTTCCAGTGACCTTCTTTCACCTTAAATAATTCTTGATATGAAAACATAATGAGTAAAATTGCCCTCTCATAGTTAAGCACCTTTTGTCACAGATATATTATAAGTAATGAAACCATTTTTTGAGCCAAGCTTTACTCTGATACTCTCATTCTCCTGCGTTTATTAACCTCACAACCTTCTCCCCTCTCTTTGCCCTTGCATACCCCTGCATCTCTTTTCTTACTTACACAACAACCCCTCCCCCTGTTCTTTTCTAATTTCTCTCCTTTCTTAATCCTTCTTTCCATCTATCAACTCTTTACCTCCTGTCACCACCGTGCAATAACGATCGGTGCCAGTTATCATATGGCAGAAACCTTCCACAGCAGCCCCTTCCTGCACCCCCCTTTCTTAGTTGTTAGCATGACTCAGAGGGGAGATAATGACCAGCCAAACATAAAATTACTATTCTTGAGTGACAAAGAGGAGGACGTCCTGCTATAAAGCAGGTAAGGACAAACAACAAGCATACTTTGGACAGGAAATGCTGAAATGAGCGCAGAGAGAATACCATTGTAGGTGCGACACTTCCAGCTTTCTTTACTCAAACCATACCACCCCTAATTAAATCTGGAGGTAAAATTGTGGGGGCCAAAATCCCACCTCATAACCTTTTTAAAAAAACATCTGTTTTACATTACTATGTTCAGAAAATGGGGAGTTGCAGCAACATGATACACGATACAGTATATCATGAAAGCAGGTCATGTGTATGTTTAAAGGACTGATAGCAGAAAACGACTAAAACAACAACAATTTCATGGGTATTTCGAGGGTTCAGTTATGACACAGTGGGAATCTTATACGTTTGGACACATTAAAGTAGGTTCAGAGTTATGGGAAATATTAAAACATGTTTAGTTAAGATTAAATACTGAGCTGAGATGAAAACATTCTCCCTTTAAACACAACTGCTAATCATTTTTTGTGATTTTCTAGCTTTCATATTCTAATGACATGTAATGCTTTAATGGGGATTTCAACACTACCAGCTGCCACAAGTGTACATTTAAGAATTTAGTTCTGGGGATTCAATGTATTGCAGTAACTGACAAATAACTGGTTTTAATTATGTTGTGAAATGCTCTTGTTTGATGAAAGAGCTGCTGAGTCATACTTAGCAATTACTTGTGGTGTGCCCGAGTTATTTGTTTAGCTGTGTTAGACTTAGCTCCAGAAAGGTTGAGGTTTATATAAGTATTATATATGAGGTTTATATAAGGTTCTTTGGAAAATGCAGAAATTAAAGAGGAGAGAAGTAACAAAATATATTTTTACCTTTCACAGGAACAATTGTGTCAACTTCAACTGTTGGCAGAAACAAAGAACAGAATCAGTGTTTGATGCAAACATCTAAAAAACAAAGTCTAGTTGGAGACCTTTATCAAGAGCTCTACAAATGTGTAACACTCATCTGTTTTTGATCATCATCAAAGCTTGCTGAATAGTGTTTACAAAGAGGGTATATGTGAATATCTCATTTCTTTTTGCTTATTATATACATTAAGGCATTACGCTGATACAGGAGATCATGACTCATGGTACGGTATGTAACATGCTACAACTAGACAGATTGTACCAGAACATAACGTTTTACAAACAAGTTGGTACAGTTCCCCATGTAAAGGACACGCATGCTAAAGCGGTGAGCTCATCTGATGAATTCAAGTGTCCATATTGTGTCTTTAATACATACCTCGAGATACCTACTCTGTCCCAAGTGACTTGAAGCAAATAGCTATCTCTAAGTTCTTACCTACAGTCTCAAGGCTGCATTCTGTACCAGAGTCATTAGAAACAGGCATGGACATTTTGGCTTTCTTGATTTACTGTATATTAGTTGCATGGGGATCATATTACATTTTTTCCATATGAGGTTATACACACAAGAAAATCCACAGTATATTCTCACCTGGGACCTCCACTTTTGGTTCCTCTGCGGCTGGTTTTGTTGCTTCAGCAGCAGGGTCTGTTGGCTTCTCCTCAGTATCTGCTGCCCCAGGTCCACTCTATTAAAATGTATCAAATATAAACACAAAGGATGCGCCAGGAACTTCTCAAATGATTGCAGCTTCTGAAAAATGTGTGTTATACACTGGCTGTCGGCAATTATACATAATCAGAATGTAGATGTTAGGTTTAAATAAGACTTTGTAACGGTGCTACTGACCTCCTCCTGAGTGGGTGCTTCAGTACCGCTTGGGGAAGCTTCCTCTTCTTTAGCTGTTGGTTCCTCAGCCTTTGGAGCCTCAACCTCTGGATCAGCTGCAGGTGCTGGAGCTGAGAGAGAAACAGATGGGGGGGAAGTTTAGATCACTCATTTATTTTTATTATCCATATTTTATGACATGGGATCAAATGGAATGGCTGGTTTTGTGGCACTTTTTATTGCAGGTTGCAAGCAAAGCCAGGCAGGTTCAAAAAAGCATTTTGCCTAATCTGCACATTGACAAGGTGTATAGTAGCAACAGTTTGAAAGACATCTCAAAATTGAGATTGACCTGTTTCTTTATCAATCAATTACATTGACTACATTTTTTTTTAATGGTACAATCGCTGTTGCTTCTCAGTATGATTATTATTAGCCAAGCTGATGTTGTAGATCAGCATCGAATTGAAGGAGAAAAACAAGACAGAGTTGCAACAAGTAAAAACAACAATAATAAAAACTGTTATTTGGGAGAAAAGAACAGTGTCCAAATTCTTGGTTATGGTTTATCAAATATCAAGCAGCATTCTGAGAAGGAAAAACAGCTCTGCATGTATTTGCAACGTTTGGTGTGTGTGGGTGTTTCTGAATTCCCATCTTCACCACTTCCTCTTAAATCTCTCTCTTTATCAAAGGTGCGCTGAAGCACGAAATTCTACTTTAGATGCCAGCAGATGTCTCGCCAGTGTACAGATTGGGCTTTTGATTTTATTCTTGATTTAAGTTAACATTTTATTGTTAACTTTTTATTTGGGAGCAGGAAACAGTGAGTAGAATTTTTGGTAGGGTAGGATTATTATAAAAGTAAAGAAAAATTAGCACATTATATGCTTTTGCGTCAGATTAATCATCAGAAAAAAACATTTCTGTATTTCCTTTTTTAAGTGTGCATATTTGAACACCAGTGGATCACCTGGTGTTGCTGCAGCGGCATCTGTCTCTGTGTCGGCTGGAGCAGTGGCCTCAGGAACCACAGTATCATCGGCTCCGGCTTCAGGCTCAGCAGTAGGCTCAGGCTTGGCTTCTGTTTCCTATATTAAACACGAGTTATACATATTTAAAAAATACATTTACATAAAAGAAAAACAAATATTTAAACATAAAATGCCCTCAGGTGATTTGGTTTTAAGATTAGAGCATATTTGTTAGTGCTTCACCATCAGTTTTTTTTACCAAGCAGCACAACTGATATGCAAACTGGAGCTTTGCTGAAACACAAAACACAGTCTGAAAAGGGCAGAAACAGAGCTGCCATTGACGTTATGTTTCATAACACTTTCAATGCCCACCTTGAATGTACATGAACAACATTCAGCCATTTGATATGACTCAGCTTCTCAAATATCTGCCTGAAGAAGATTAAGAACTATATATTCTCTCGACCTCAATGTACTAAATGCAGGTTGCAATGAGGCACTGTTATCCAGAAACATGGCACAGCTCAGATCACTCAGACCTGGACAGAGTTTGTACATTTGTATATATTTAGTCAGTAATGCTGTTTTCAGAACACCCAAACATTTTCCTGTGTGCTATTTACCAGACAAGATAAGAGTTTGCAATCATCAAAGTAACATTATAAAAAATAAACTTTGTGAACTATAACCCCTTTTATATTTATCACCCATACATCATCTGGACCTGCAATTATGTAACTTTTATATGTTTCTGTTTTAAGAGCAAGTGTTATTTAATTTTTGACCATATTGGGTTCTTTGGAGGTTGTTGATTACCGGGAGAACTCTAGCGAGATAAACACAGATTGATCATACAAAGAAAACAAATCAACAGAAACAAAAATGTTCTTTACGTCGGCTGCTTTGTCAGTTTCCTCCGCGGCTGCTTCAGGAGCTGCGGCTGCTTCTAGGTCTGCTTCAGGAGTTGCGGCTGCTTCTGAGTCTGCTTCAGGGGCTGCGTCTGTTTCAGGAGCTGCTTCTGGAGCTGATTCAGGAGCTGCTTCTGCTTCTGGAGCTGCTTCAGGAACTACTTCTGCTTCAGGGGCTGCTTCAGGAGCTGCTTCTGGGGCTGCTTCTGGTTCAGGAGCTGCGTCTGCTTCAGGAGCTGCATCATCTACACAAAATGTAAAAGAATAATTAAGAAGGAAACACATATCCAGTCAAAGGCTGACTACTAGTACATATCAATTTAAAAAAGGGCAGACAAACAAAACAAAAGGGCTGTCCTGAAACCCTGGAGCTTCAATAAGCATACATCACACGACTGACAGAAGCCTGAGAAACTATAATTTTCTTTCTCTCAAGAAGAAAAGAGGCAGACATGGCAGGCTAAAATATGACAATATGTCTCAATGACTCATACGGAGTTTCTTCTGCCTTTGAAGGCGTGCAACCTGGCACTACAACCCCTATAATTGACTGAATTGACCAATATGTTGTGCCCTTGCCTGTTCACAAACAAATAAGCCACACTTTTACAAGTCTGACCTAAAATAGAACCAATAGAACAAAAGACTGGCAGTGATTTGTGATGATGGAAATTGAAAAACGGCATGCCTTAATCCATCTGTTACCATTTAAAACAATTACAATTATCTGTCGAAATGGTCGTTAAGATGTTGTGGATTCAACACATTCTCTAACATGACTATCACCACTGACACACTGACACACCCACACACACACACACACACACACACACACAAAGAGCCACACCCTGCTCTGATTGGTTCCTGATGTGAACTCTCCAGCCACAAATGGATGACAGACGCATCGATCACGTCTCACCTGCCTCAACATCATATGAAGACTCAACCTCTGCACTGGCATTGCAGCTCTGTACTAATGAGAAAATACAAAGCACATGTCTTTGTCATTCTGTGTGTGAGATGAGCATGGCGTTTGTGTGTGTTTGAGGCAGTGCTGTGAGATTCCCCTGTTGGATGTGAGAAGCTGAAACAGCAAAAATGTGCTCTAAGTTGAGCTGATTTCAGCAACACCCTGATGCTGGTTCTTCGGGATAGTACCAACCTTTAAGAGGTATATACCATCTAGAAATAATGGTATGGGTGATATTTTGCTTTCTGCTGGAAATTGAAACATAAAGACATAACAAAGAGCAATAAGAATCTTCAGGGGTTTTCTGCTGTGTATCACAACTATCTTCCATAAAATGTTCACTTCACATAATTCGTAATCACTTTTGAAGACTTGCTTATTGTCAAGTGAATTTCCAATGTAGGATCGCTGCCTTTGCCAAGTGAGATTCTATCCGAGTCAGAGACGCCCTGAGGGAGGGCGGCAGGAACACATCTGAAGTATTTCCATCGCACCGTTAAACCTCTGGAGGCAGGCCGTGCAATGTTGGTGACACCCTTGCTTCTTCCAAACACCCACCCAAATCCATAGAGACACTAGCATGGCTAAACACACACCATATGCACTTATGCACAGAAACATGAAGGGGTGACTTGCACAGATGCATGATCACTAATAAAAACAAGCTCTATTTGTTTTTCCCTTAATTCCTTTGGTTAATGTCACAGTATGAGCTTTGTATCAGTGGTAATCAATACTTAGTGCCATTCATGGTTTATTAAGAACCTAACAGCATCACAAACTGAAGAAACAGGACTGAATGTGTGAGTAAATGTGTTTGTGGTGGAGTTCAGGTTTTTATCTTCATGACTTTCTTTGATATCACTGTCTCAATCAAACAGGTGTTATCAAAGATGTACCGTAGCAAAACATTCAGCTTGTTGAACTAGTTTAGACGCCAGATGTTTGGCTTTTTTTTTTTATCTGAGAAAAGTTAAATGCAGGTTAACTTTCTGCTGATATTGAATTGTTATTTCCTCAGACCGGGATCACTGTTGTGTGTTTAATGATTGTGAGTATATATGTTTTCACCTACAGTAAATGTGAAAATGAGTGGGCACATTTTTCCATGGCATTGTGCCGACATGCATGTGTGTGTGAGGTATGTGGCTCTCATGTAACATGTGATCTGGGTGTGTGTGTGTGTGTGAGGGAAACTGCCCCCCATACAAAGTCTTTCTCTTGCCACTCCATAGAACATTCTGTTCCCATCTATCAGTTTGCCACTTCCTCCTCTAACTACCTCCACTTCAAACACACCCCCTTACATCCCCCCACCCAACAACAGGCATGCGCACACGCACACATGTGTGTTCGTGTGTGTAGAAAGTAAAACCCATAAAAACACCTTCTCCTCCCCCTTTGAGTCCAAACATACAAACAACCATATGTTCACACACACAAAAGTCAAGTTAACATTCACCCTCACCCTTGAGTAAGCGCTGTCCTGTTTTGTGTTAGTGCAGCAGTGAAACAAATTGTTGCACATCCAAACCCTCTCAACCTTCCTTTTTCTTTTTGCTTTAAAGACTGTCTCCCCCTTTCCTCTCTCTTTCCCTCTCCCAAACTCTTAACTCCCTTTGTTTCTTTGCCACTGCTTTCCCCAGGGGCTGATGAGTCATCTGTGTGTCTCTGACATGGCTGCACGCTATTGTATGAGACTGAACAGCATGTGCAGAGTTAAACTCTAAGAAAAGGTCCCCAAAGACGGACTCTTAAGACAAACCAGTTTATGCATGTGGGAAAACACGATACTGTCGGTTACATACTGTTCTTTAGGAAAACTGGCCTACAAGTTGTTGATAGATTGATAAATACCCTCCATGGCCACTTTATCAGGTATACCTATACATGTCAGGGCTGGGCGGTAAGGAGCTAGAACATTCTGGTAAGTTCTTCAAATGACATCACTTTAAAAACAGGAAAGACACTTATGCCATGTTACGATTTTATCATATATACAATCTTAAACTAAATATTAAACTTTAACTTAAACTTCTCCGACATTGTCAATCAGAACAGAACATTATCATTAACACTGAAAACAGGAGGATACAAGTAGCTTAGCTCTGTACATTAACATTTTACAGAATGTTTCAGGGTGCCTGACTATGTCTTGGCCGGGCACAACTCACTGTCGTTACTGTGAGTTACTGGTCCCCGCCTATACAGTCTATGGTCCTAGCCAGGAAATAGTCCAGCACATTAACCCCCTTAAAACTCCAAATTGCCTGTTTTTCGTGTGCAAACTAAACAAATTAGATATAACTCACAAGCTTAAGAGGTGCCTGTAAGTGTATTATATAACCTTTGGACTGAGTCAGGCTTGCTGTTTCCATCTGTCTCCAGTCTTTGTACTAAGCAACGTTTTAAAAGCTAAGCATTACACTACCTCCTGTATTGAATATGACTCTCAAGAGACAAGCTTAATCTGTAACTGTCTTTTTTGCTGAAACAACCCTTATAATGCAGACAACTTTCCATTTCGTTGTTCTTTATGCTCCAGCAAGCGGGACTTTGACATCACTTAGGGTTACTTAATCTGGGAACCAACTTGTGCCTGAAGACAAGTTAAAACAGGGTTTAAGGGATATATGTCACTGAATAAAACTAAAATACTAATTGATAGAAACTAAGCAAGCACTTTTAGCAAATAACATCATGTTAACGCGCTACTATGACAACAGCCAATACAGCGTGGAGACAGCACTTAAATTGTTAGCCTATATAATGATTCACAGGCATCATGGAAGCTTTAGTGCTGATTGATGCCAAAGGGTGACACATAATAAAACTGTTTAACTTGGCACTTGATAGCATTTCTGAGTACGCCTGATAATTAAAAAGTAAAATTATTTTTTCATGTCACCTTTTGTTTTGCAAACTACTAAACAAAGACGTTCATCTTTTTCAAATTCAATGCCGTTTGATTTGTATGACTCACAGTCTGAGGCCAGTTATGAATGACAAAGGAAGAGCACCTTACGACACTTACGGTTTCCTGCCGTGAGATTGTGTGAGATCGTCTGAGTGTGGTTGAACGGTACTATAGCGTGTACAGACACCAATAACCAATCCTTGTCTCGTAATAGTACACCAGAAACTGTGTGTGCATGTGTGTCAGGTGATACAACAGCACCTCCACAGTGCATTGTTCTGTCAGATATGGCTCTATTGTGTGTTTGTAGGACAGAAAGTGCCGTGTTTACCCCAATCATGCACACCTTAAAACAGCCCCCATGGGAGCAGAGAGAGTGAGAGTGTGTCTGTGCATGTGTGAGTAGATTTCACTTATCCACCATAAGAGAGATTTGTGTGGTGGTAGTTGATGGTGTAAACAAGGACAAGTCTGCACACAGTACACACACACACATCACAATTCTTTCATCTGCCTCTAAAAGACACTCACACACACACACATGCTCTATAACTGACTCATACAGAAACTCACATTAATGATCGCTCCCATACTCCCACATGTTCTGTATATTAAGTAATTCCCCACTCCCACACCTACCCACACACACACACACTCTCTCTCACACACACAGATGCTGAGGGCCCTGGGGGAGTGTAAGGCGCTGAAACTAGTTGAGTTGTTGGGTGTTGTCTACAGCTGGAGCTGGATCTAGTTACGAGACACTCCCTACACTTCACTTCTATAGCTTACACACATTGTGCGTGATGTGTGCGCTGACCCATGGACCCATCTTTTTTTTTTTTTGTGTGTAACTACGAACTCCTAACATGCAAGCAAGCAAATACACCCGTGGAGATTTTCTGTGTCAAAGTACAGCAGCACATTGGGTTTTACAGTGAGGTTACAGTTTGGCAAGTTGAGAAAAAGTGTGTGTGTGTGTGTGTGTGTGTGTGTGTGTGTGTGTGTGTGTGTGTGTGTGTGTGTGTGTGTGTGTGTGTGTGTGTGTGTGTGTTGATTGATAAGTTTATTAACAGCTTGTATATTGGGTACAGTACAGTACAGCTCAAAACATACAATTGTTAAGGGGATGCAGACCAGAGAAAGACTTTCGTCTTGTTTACATCAGGGTCCCCCATTTCCAATTCATCATATCATTTAAGACATATAAGACATATTTGACATACAGATGGCTTATTTACAATTTACATACAGTTGGTTTACAGTTGGTGTGTGTGTGTGTGTGTGTGTGTGTGTGTGTGTGTGTGTGTGTGTGTGTGTGTGTGTGTGTGTGTGTGGTTCGTCTCTTGTGGTTTGTCCGCTCATAAAAAATGAACCGGTAGAGTGAGAATACACCAGGTCTCATTGTAGTTCACCAACTGAAATGTTGTTTGCATAATGGTAATGAATCTCACTGTATCAATGAATAGCTCTCTCACTCTATCCTTAAATTGTATATCTGCTGTTTTTCCCTCTTAATCCTCTTAAACATTTTTGTTTTTATCTTCTTCCAACATCTTCCTATCTCTCCCTCCATCTCTCCAAGTGTCTCTGCTTTTCTCAATGCTTCCTTTATCTCCCTCTGAGTTTTATTGCTCTTGAGAAATCTGAAATCATTGCATGCGCCGCGGGGAAGGGCAGGGGCCCATGAGCCAGCTGAGGAAGAAGAAAGAGGAAGAACAGATCAAAGTATGGAAAAAGAAGATATGAAGAAAAAATTAGACTCACAAAGCATCAGTGATTCAATAAAGGTTAATAAAAAGAGCTGGAAAAATGGATGAAACAATTAAAAGAGGGGGGAATTCCTTATGTAAGGACAATGCGCCCACCACACCCCTTTGGGCCAAACTCATGTCCAGAAAGATATGGCCAAATTAAATGACACACCTATTTCACTGTTAATGCCTGGCCTGCAGAGCCGTGAAAAACGGAGAACAGAAGAAGAAGGCAGAGCTGCCTCCATTCATTCAGCCAGAACAGATTGAAACAAGCAGATTATAGCTAAAGGTGAATTGAATTGGCATGCAGACGGGGAGGCAGACAGACTGGCAAAAGACACTGGCAATTGCTCTCAGACAAACACATACACATTCTGATGGAGATGATCAACCCACTGAAAGACATATAGAGATAGATAGAGAGATAGATAGATAGAGAGATAGAGAGATAGAGAGATAGAGAGATAGATAGATAGATAGATAGATAGATAGATAGATAGATAGATAGATAGATAGATAGATAGATAATGTGTGTGTATGCGAATAAGAGCATGTAGCTTAAGGCTGGGCTGAATTAATTGGAAATATAATCATTACCTTGTGCCTTGGCGCTTGTAGCCAGCAGGCTTCCTAATAGCAGAATCCACAGGTATGACATCATGGGAACACGGTGTTCTGGCTGCGATTGAACCGGGGTTTAGATTCTCTTTACTCTGCCTTCAAACAGGACAATGTACCGGCTCGGAGGTTTCAGGTAGATCTGGAGGGCGTGCGTGTCGGTGTGCCGGTTCGTTCTTGCGCGTCGGATCAAACCCGTTGCGTTTCCAAGGTGCTCAGATGCTCTGCTCAGTGCGCGCCTCCGCGGATCTGTCGTCCTTTCCTTTTGTCTGGATTGGAAGAGAAAGGTCCAGTCTTTATTGATGTGGGCGGGTCTCTTCTCCCAAATACGTACAGGCAGGCAGGCAGGAGGGCTGTGTACGGGCTGTGATGGCATCACACATGTTTTTGCCATTGCCATCCTGTTGCTAGAATGACTGTTGCCAACAATATGTTTATCTTCTTTATCGATACCGCCTGGTTAAACACAACATTCAATTGGCACAAACTCAGAATCAAGCATTATTTCAATCAAGCCATCCATCGTCTATTCAGATACTAAGCCACAGTGGCTGTTCCTCGGTGAAATTAAGCATTTTTTTCGTGGCTTCAAAATGGAATACAATGATTATTGTACTTAATTACTTTCGTACAACCTCACAACCTTATAGTTTACTCGGATTTATTAATATATCAGGTTTCTGAAAAGTACACGGAATTACTGGATTTGGTAGCTGTGGTCTGTTCTAATGTATAATTAATGTTAGGTTTCTATTTGAGTAAAAACCCCATAACCTCATACAAACCAGACAGAATGTGGATCTGAAAAGATCATGTTCTTTTCCTCGGGCACCTCTCCTTTTCATTACCACTTTAAATTAACTGAGCCAAATTAAACTGCTTTCACTAGAATATATCGGCAGGGGGCGCCATTCATTATGTATATTACAGTTCACGCCTCCATTAAAGCATGCGAGGCGTTCAAATCCCTATAAACATAAAAAACATCACGACTTTGACGAGGGGTGTTTACATATTCATGTACAATTTTCTTTGAATCACTGCCGTCTTTTTTATTGTATCATAAATGGTAAGGGAGGCATCTACCACGTAATATTATACCAGATTAAACACTTTTTTTTGTTACACTTTAATGTCTTAAAATTAGACAGCAAATCAAAGGTCTCATATCAAATGAGTAACTTATTTCAACACCTCAAAGTTACATTTATTTCCTACTACCTAACTTTAACCTTATTCATAGGAATTATGCATGTAGTTGATGCATTGCTTTGCTTGATATTCTCACTGTTTTAGTAAACTAAAAAAACTATTCCTGTGTGATTTGATATCTCTTGCATGTTGGTAGACAGGTATCAACACACCACCATCACATGAGTGTAAACACACAGTTACGCCCATCTAAATCATACACCGTTACCACAGGTGTCATGGAAAAAAAGGCAAGCCTTGCATAGGGGTGAGGCTGTGTTACTTCGAAACAGATTAATTACAACAGTTTGCCCTTTAGAACACACTCATTTAGCAACAGTTTCTTTCCTTGTTATCCACAAAAACAAACAAAACGCCCCATGGAAGTCATCAAGCAACCTGGCTATGACTATGTAGTCTGTACATAGTGTGAAACCAGCAACAGCACATTTTGTCCCACTCCCAGCTCATTCTCACATGCAATACAAATGGAATGAAAATCGTTTTTAAAAAAGAAATGCGTTTATTAGTGTCATAGCACAATGATTAAATAAACATTTAAACAATCTCTTATTGAACAAGTTAATACAAAAAACATACAAAAAGCCTTGATTTGGGAAATTAGAGTATGTCTGATGATTTGTTAAGAAAGAGCAGGGATAACAAAGAGAACAAATCTCTGCACAACTTTTACATGACCCTTTTGCACTCATCTGTCCTTAGATAGATATTGAAAGTAGCACATGTATTGTTTATAGCATATGTATTTAGCGAGAATTTGAGTTACTGACGTATTTGTAGTTAAAGGTTTCCACTATTTGGTCAGTATTTTTCCTAACCATTGACCTGAGGCATGCGCATCAAAACCCATGTCTAGTATTCAGTCCAGTACCTTAACATCAGAAAAAGGGGCGAGGCACATTTTGTGTCTCCCCTGTTGTACAAAACCCATGTTCATTTTAAGGCAATAAAGCTTGACAGCAAAGAAAAAGGCACAATTATTCAATTTTCAGCACCGGTTGCGTTTCACAACACTATTGTTTGCAGATTGGTTAATTCATAGCAGTGCCATGTCTCAGTCCTCAAAGAAAGCATCCACAGTAACTAAAACCTAAGTGAGGCCTTCATGACTGTATGTTATTATTGGTTATTTGCTTTTGGCACATAAAAGAAACAAAAACAATATAACAAAAACTGCCCAAAGCTAGTCAACACCTCTCCTGTGCTCCCCACCCGTGATCTGTAATATACAGACTAGCTCTTGGTCATAAGCACTTTGGTCGGCTATCGTTCAAAAACAGCATAAAGACTGAAATGGAAATTAAGAAGAAAAAGGAAGTTAATGTGTAGTAACTTTCTTAAGTGTGGTTATTGTCCCCATGCCTCACAATTTTGACTTCCCGTTCTGATTTATTATGAACTTCAAAGGATTACACCTTCTTTCGAGGCTGAGAAGAAGTAGTGGTAGAAGTATTTTGAAAAACATTATTCCTGGCAACAATTCTAACATTGATACCTGAATGTCTGTCCTTTTATCTCAATGCAAAGCTCTGCTGCATTAAGGAAGGCCCAGGGACATAGATGCTCTTGCTGAAAGAACATTTAAATGCCATTCTAATTATCAACATAAAAATGATATCCTTTAGATTTTTTATTCAAACAAGCTTGGTGCTGTATTTTTCAGTCTTTACCTCCTTTTAAAACATCGTCGTAAGAGAGCATGATCTCTAAAACTGACTGAAATATACTCCTTCTTGTGAATACATTTTCCATATTTTAAGGATGAGAGATAATTGTAACAACCCAAATTCATTGCACAGCCATTCCCAATGTGCAATCACCATGCATTATTATTAGTGCAGGAGTTTCCTCTTGTTCATGATGTCAGTTTTTCAAAAAAGAGGAAATAAGTATTGAAAACTTGGATCATGTGGAGTCTGAAAACCACATCAGCAGAATGCCAGGAGAATGAGGCTGTTAGGACAGCTGGGACTGACATGGAAACTGTCTCTAAATAAATGTGTGTGTGCATGTGTGTGAGACGGAAAGAGAGTGAAAAAGAAACAGAATCATTCAGCGTAGCTAACAAAGTGAGGGCAGTATTAAGGCTCCTGTGTTCCATCTCCATTTGAAGGCAGTTTAAGGATTGGTTGCTGGTCCCACTCTGGAAAATGTGATTGACTATTGTTTTGTTTCAAGAGAGCGAATGGCTGGAAAGCGGCTCACATTTTGTTGAAACAGTCCTTGGCGTTGGACCACACCTGGATTCCCTGAGAAAGTGATAAATTGAGAGAGAACAGATGAGAGAAAAAAAAAGCAAAAACACGACAGTTTTTTTTAATTAGAAAAACAGATTGGGAGCTTTACTGCTGAGAAATCAACATCACAAGATGCCTGGCATTTTTAAGTAGGCAATTATACAAGAAAAAATACATTATAGAAAAGAATCCCATACCTTTTTACACGTGCTGATCTGCATAATGGCATAGCTGATGAGTGCTTCACGCAGATCTTTGTCCTTCTGCTCCTTAAAACGTTCAATGTCTTCCCAGGCCATTTGAACAAACTCTCTGAAGACACAAACACAAAAAAAAAACACTGTGAAAGAGCTGGTGGAAGGGAGAATAGAAGGCATGGCATAGGGGAAAAAACAATGTGGTTGTCTTTTTGTTCTCAAAATTACTAATGTGTTATTACTCATACACAATTATTCCTGGTTTCTTGACCCTGGTCTACCTGAGAGAAAATGTATACGTTGGTTTTCATCCGTTTTCTTGTTATTGATAATATTGTATTTTCTTACGAACTCTTCCAATGTATAGTTTTCTGTCTGAGGCATGAAACAGTTATTATAGAAATAAGGGCAAATTGCGTAACTAAAAACCAGAAGATTTACGTAACTAAAAACCAGAAGATATACTGTGTTTTCAGAGGGAGGGAAATAGTGAGAGGAGCAGAATAAGAGTGAGTGAATACATATAATTTAGAAAAGGTGGAAGATTGGTACATTAGTGTGGAGCTTACTTGCACTCTGTGTTCTTCTCCTTGAGCGTTTCCTCCCCCTCCTGGATGCTCTGCTCCAGAGCAGCCAGCCTGCTCTCCCTCTGCTCCTGGCTCTCTGTGCCAAACAGTTTACTGGTAATGCCCTTCAGGGAAAACACACGTACTGTCTGCCCAAACACAGAAACACACACATATTAGGCTGAACCCCTATAAGCACTCATTCCTGCCTATGTCCATTAAGCTTCTTAACATTCAAATGTAATGAAATGTACTTTTTAAATGTTGGCCATGAGGGTTGTTCAATAGGTCGCCATTGTCAGTATGTGCGTCTGTGTATTGTGTTAGTTCAAACTGTGTATGAGTGATGATATGTGTATGTATTTGAATGTTTATTATGTTTGTATATGTACATGTATGCGGAACTGCAGGACGGAGTCCAGAACAAATTTCCTTACGGGGACAATAAAGTATATCGTATCGTATAGTATTAATTGATTTACTGATGTTTTCATCAAGTCAGACCACAAAAGTGTTTTAAACGCCTGCCTAATTTTGTTCAAAATTCAAAATCGTTTGTGTGCAATCATCCGGAAATTTGACAACTGACTTGACACGGTCATTGTGTGTGTACCACATGTGTATGTGCCCAGAATGGGTAAGAGAAAGTGAGAGATAATAAGCGGGTGTGTGAGAGGGAGTGCTTTACCCCGGTAGCCAGCTCTTCTCTCTGCTGTTTCTTAGAGATGAGTTCCTGAGCTGCCATCTCCAACTCATACTGGATCAGCTCATGTTTCTTACATACTGACCTTTACAAACACGCAGAGGAATGGAAACATTAAAAAACATCCATATGTGTAGTCCTATTACATTTTGCTGCTAATATGACAACAAACAGTCAACAGATATGACTTTTCCATCAGCGTCAATAAAAAAGTTAGACATAGCCGATTGTTACATCTGCCTCGTAATAAACAGCATGTGACACTGAACTCCATCCAATCACTGACATCAGTGCTCGTTCAGAACAAGTCTGCATTATGTGCTCTGCTGAAAGATGGTTTACATCTGCTATTGACAATTTGCATGTGTGCTGCAGCGTGTTGCTTTGTTTTGAATACAGATCAAGTAAAATGGCGATATGTGGGAGAAGCAGACAAGAGAGTATACTTTCTTTTTTTAACTTGAAAACTTTACATAGAAAAAGATAAACAAAACATAAAACCATGCGCCAAATGTTTTGTTGAAAAGTCAGGGTTTTATCTCTACAACACCTCACATTACCTTTGTCAGACAATACCCTGAACTAGTTCTTCCATCAAAATGTATTAACATTCATGTTGTTAATTCAATCAATCAATTGTTTGATCTTATAAACTATGGAAAAGGTCTACAGTCACCACTGGACATTTGGTATTTATTCTTGAATATTAGTTAGAAACTGAATCAATGGACGAAATAGTTGGTGAGAGTGAGCTACATTACCAACATTGGTACCACTTTACAATAAGACTACCCTTATAAAGGGTTTACGAATAGTTTGTAATTCATTTATTAATTAGGTTGTGAACACTTTATAAATCATTAATAAGCTTTTATAAGACATGAGCTAAACAGGGCAACTGTGACCGGTGGCTTGCCAAATAGTGAGCCCACATTTATCTGTACTGCTAAGCCTTATATTGGCTACTTAGCTTACATCGTCTTCTTCATCAGCCAGCATCCTTGGTATCTGTTGTTCACGGAGTTGATTCTCGCTAAGTAGCCAATATAAGGCTTAGTCATCTTGCCAAATAGTGAGCCTGTGTTGATGTATGCAAACTATGTTAGAACTGGTTTATAAATGGTTCTTAATGATTAATAAAGTGTTTACAACCTAATTCATAACCTAATTAATGACCTAATTATTAACCCTTTATAAAGGGTAGTATTGTAAAGTGGTACCCAAACATTCAAGAACACTCAGCTTTATTAAAATAAACTTGTATGATGGTGCTTTAATGTGAATTCCACTTTAACACAAATGGTGATATTTTTTCAAACCAAATGCTAATAAAGAACGCTGGCAGACTATTTGATAGACAGTTGATTTGGATAAGAGCATCACCTAATTTCACTCATATTACATGACTGCCTATTCTTTTGGCCAGTTATACAGTGGAGGAAACAAGTATTTGATCCCTTGCAGATTGTGTAAGTTTGCCCACTTACAAAGAAATTAACAGACTATAATTGTAATGGTAGGTTTATTTTAACAGTAAGAGTAAGAATATATATAAGAGATATAAATACATTTGCATTTAACTGTGGGAAATAAGTATTTGATCCCCTTCCAACCAACAAGAATTCTGGCCATTTCCTTTAGGAAAGTACTCATATCAACTTTGTTACCTCTATAAAAGACACCTGTCCACAGAATCAATACATCAGATTCCAACCTCTCCACCATGGGCAAGACTAAAGAGCTGTCTAAGGACCTCAGGGACATGTCTCTGAGGTCCGCACCCTCTGATAAGGCTGGGATTGGCTACAAGACCATCAGAAAGCAGCTTGGTGAGAAGGAGACAACTGTTGGTGCCATTATTCAGAAATAGATGAAAGACAAGCTCTCGGTCTGGGGCTCCACACAAGATCTCGCCCCATGGGGTATCGATGATCATGAGAAAGGTGAGGTATCAGCCAAGAACTACATGGGAGGAACTTGTTAATGATTTCAAGGCAGATGGGACCACAGTCACCAAGATAACTATTGGTAACACACGACACCATAATGGATCAAATCCTGCAGCGCCCGCAAGGTCCCCTGCTCAAGAAGGACCATGAAAGGCTGGTCTGAAATTTGACAATTAACATCAAAATGATTCGGAGAAGGCTTAGGAGAAGATGATGTGGTCAGATGAAACCAAAATCAAGATCTTTGGCATCAACTCGACATGCTGTGTTTGGAGGAAGAGAGATGCTGACTATAACCCCAGAACACCATCCCCACCGTCAAGCATGGAGGTGGAAACATTCTGCTTTGGGGGTGTTTCTCTGCTAAGGGGGGGGAGGGGGGACAGGACGACTTCCTGCATCGAGGAGAGGATGTATGGGGCCGTGAACCGTGATATCTTGGCCGATAGCCTCCTTCCCCCAGCAAGGACACTGACAATGGGTCATGGATGGGTCTTCCAGCAGGAAAATAGACCTTAACATACGGCCAAGGCAACACAGGAGTGGCTAAAGAAGAAACACATTTAGGTGATGGAGTGGTCTAGCCAGTCTCCGGACCGGAGAAAATCTGTGGAGGGAACTGAAGCTTCCAGATGCCAAGCATCAGCCTCAAAACCTGAAGGATTTGAGTAAGATCTTCAGAGAGGAGTGGACCAAAACACTTCCTGAGATGTGCACAAACCTGGTGACCAACTACAAGAAACGTCTGACCTCTGTGCTGTCCAACAAGGGTTTCTCCACCAAGTACTAAGACATGTTTTCAAGGTTCAAGGTTCAAGGCTTTTATTAGTCATACGTACATAGCTACAGTGTAGTTATAACGATGAAAATCTTAGGTCACAGGCTCCACCAATCAAATTTTTTATTTCCCACAGTTAAATGCAAATCAATTTTTATGTCAATTTCTGGATTTTCTTTTTGGTATTCTTACTCTCACTGTTAAAATAAACCTACCATTACAATTATAGACTGCTAATTTCTTTGTAAGTGGGCAAACTTATCAAATACTTGTTTCCTCCACTGTAGATATATCTCTCTGTTAAACAAGACTTACCTGACGGCGTCAGTGTAGAAAAGGTATTCTTTCAGTTGGTCTGCATAGTGTTCTTCTTCCTCCAGAATGTCATCTATTTGTGCAGCATACCTGTTGTCATGTATATAAATTAACCAATGCAAAAAAAAGCACTATGGGTGAGAATGTAAGGTATCCTCTGAGTGTGTAAGAGGGTACACTAGTTGAAGTGCTTCTTAAGTCTACTTACGTGTCCATGTGGTGGCCAGCACTCTGCAGCCCGTCTCCCATCTCTTTTTCAATAGCACTCCACTCGCTACAGAGACAACAAGTCAGGCATACCTGAGGTTAACTCGACAGTTCTCTCTTTCAGGTCATAAAACATCAGTACTTTTTCTTACAAGTACTCCAAATAAAAACGCAGCTTTTTTTTTAGCATTTGTCTCTGAATATATTAAGCATTTGTATTTTGTTGTAATTCATCAGGTTTATTAATGCTTTTATAATGCAGATTAAGGCTGTTAGGGAAGGCTCTGTCAGTATGCGTTTGGGTCAACACTGTTCCCTACGAAGTTTATTAAAAAAGTTTAAATATTAAACCAAACTTTAAAAGGAATATTTCATTTAGTTTTCTTCACAGTTATTAATCAAGTCCTGAGATATAGTAACTGTATATGCAGAGGGGTAAGAGGCATTGGATGTGCACGTAAGGTCTTTTAAATTTGAACTCAGAGCTCTTTATGCTTTATTTTGTCTAAATGCAGCGCCCTCATTTAGGCCAGAGCTATTATTGATTATAAATAGAGTAAAAAAAGAATGTTTCTCACCTAAATACTCTGCCGTAGTTACCGTGGACCTTGTAGACTCCATACAGCCTGTCTGCGACTCTCTAAAATAAAAGACATTGAATTCATTATTATGTCATGGCTCGTCAAAAAAATAATCCTGAGGCAGAAGCGACTGAAAAAAAAAGCTGACGGTGAACTACTTTCTCAATAAGACAAAGGTGGAGATGAAGTAATTGAAGAAAGTAAAAAATCTAGCATGCTGCAGACACTAAACTGTGTGTCAGCAGATGTTAGTGAAATATGGATGCCCATGATACACAAGAGTATGCAACAAAAAAAAATGTAAATGACTGGCTGAACCTACACAGACATTTAAATGCAGGTGTGTGTATGTGTGTGTTTTGCACACGCTGAACTCACCGCCCGCACCCTCAGTAACTGAGAGATGACAGTGTTCAGTTCATCACTGTATTGTTTCATTGCTGTGAATCGCCTGGAAAACACAACACATGGATCATAAATCAAACGGTGTTTAACCAAAACCACACGTTCCTTTTTGTTTCACTCTTTGTTCATATCCTGCCAACATCTTTCACAGGCAAACCAATGAAAGTTTGTATTGCACTTACTTGTCAGGGTTCTTGACTCTGAACATGGCACTCAGAGACTTTAGTCTGGAGTCAACCTGGGTGGAAAAGAATAAAACAAGTGAACTGAAGTTAAAGGAAAATGTATAAAGTTGCACACAAGTTCTACTTTAACAGAAAAAGGACAGAAATTGTATTTCTAAAAAAACGATTCTCAGTCAAGCAATCCAGCAAAGAGGAACTTGAGGAGTGTTTGTAAAATAATTAGGCAATGTATTATCCCAATCAAGTGTGGAGGAGACATTGTAAAGTCAAATTAACTGCATACCTTATCCTGGAATCCCGTCTCCAAAACCGCCTCCCTCCATCCTTTCTCCTGAGAGAACAGAAGATTGACAGATGACGGACACATGAACCACATTGTGTTTAAATGGAGCTTTTCAGCAGACAATTACACTACAACAAAACACCACAAGAGGCTGCGCTGGACTAAGCATGGTGCTACGGGTTACAGGGAGAAACACAAATATGGAAGTTCAGTTAAAGGTGTATCAAGTGTCAAAATGCTGCACACAATGAATTTTTTGCACGGGAAACCGTCATTTCCATACTATGAGACATACAGCAAATTAGTGCTAGAATTAGTGCTAGTTTGAATTCTTTGGCCCTTTCAATTCCTTTCATTCTTTTTAATGACATCAGTGCGTGCAGTTTTTCACTGTGATATCTCTTCTGACTGGAGTTTCCCTTTCACACTTCTTCTTCTTTGTCTGTATCTTCCCACCAGTGCAGCCTCAATGCATTATTTTGCAGAAGAGCTTTTATAATTTGGAAATGACTGTAAGACTACAAGAGTGCATTCTCGCAAAGGAATTGCAGAATAATTCAATGCGATGTTGTGTAAAACATCATGGTTGAGTGCTAACCTCTGTCAGAAAGAGGAAGTAGATCTTGTCATTGGAAAGGACAGGATGTGATGCAACACGCAGCAGGAAGTTTTCCAGGCCGACCCTCCGTCGCTCAACAAAGTCTGGGTCCAGGTTGTCTGCTGCCAGCTTGTGCCACTGAAACTCCGCCTAAAACAGGCAATAAAGGAAATCAAATAAAAAGTGAATACTGCCTCAAAAGACAAGGGTGTTTACAGGAAACTGAGAGCAAACTATGAAATTAAAGGTCCCCTATTATACTGTTTTTCATCAAAATATTATAGGTCTCAGATATATACAAAACATGTCTCTGAAGTGTTTGGCTCAAAATACCAAACATGCATTGTAGCATCCCATAATCCCTTCTGTTTCAAAAGTACTGATTCTGGTCTGTTACTTTAGATGAAAATAAGGAGCCACTCCCCACGCCCCTCTGAGAGATATTTGGTTTGGTTTTGTTTGACTTCCACCAAAAGTTCTTAGTGATACCCAGCAAATCATTTCATGCAATTCATCTTTTTTTATTTATTAAAATGCTTCTCCCACCCACATTATGAGTCACTTACCCTTTTCTCCGGGAGTGGAGGGATGATGATGTAGGGGTAGGTGACCAGGAGGAATGTTCGGAGTAACTCAAACTCACTGTAGCGTCTCCACAGAGTGTCAGGTGCTGCAGGCACCCCCCCGCCTGGAACAGTTTCAGCTGGCCTGCAGACAGAGGGATGGGAATAAACAGTAGTGTTATCAGGCGTCATCGTAGAAATGGATCAACTGTTCTTGTTCAAAGAAACCTGAGATAGCATGAGCAATGTACCACATCTTTCATCTACCTTTGTCAGAGGCATTGTGATAACCTTTTAAAAGCGTCAGCACAAGTGGATAAAATAATTGGAATTCAGAGAGCTACCTTAGCGCCAACTGAACAGTCAAGTAATGAAATGGGTAGTGAAGTAATCAGTGAAAGCAATTCTGCTCCCTGATTTTGTTTCGTTTTACTAACATTTAAATAAGGCTATTTTATCTTTGAGCAATCAACTCACAGCTGAAGTAGTATTAAAATCCAATCAAGTAATCAAATTGAATATACCCAGAGAAGCCCAGTCCTGTTTGTGGTGGCCAAATTGCAAACCTTCAAGGAACTATTTCACTTAATTACTTTAAGGACACTTGGAAATAAATGATGGAAGAAGATAAATCAAATATGTCCTGTGGGCTTTTATATTGATGAAGTGTAGGAGTAAATGGTCCGACTCCACTCTTCCTGTCACTGCTGTTCTTTCAGCATCACCAAATTATGTTGTTTTTGCATATGCGTTTACACTAATTTCACAATTAGTACCAATAAACTGAAACTTTATACCACTTTTTTGTTTTCAGAAACAACAAAATAACATAAAAGCCGGCAGTAACCAGACAGCTGTTGACCTACCGTGTTTCTATGAGGTAGACAGTATAGGTTTCCTGCATGTTAACGGTGTTTTTCCCTGTTCTCTTCTCTGCTTCTGCCACGTTTATCTCCATTTTCCTCAACAGAGCTGTCCCTCGTTCCACCATCTACACAGACAAGGACATTTCATGTGTTAGCATTAGAAAACAATGCAGTCAATGAAAGATAAAAAGGTATGTATCAAATATAAGGGGAAACATCATAAACAACTACATCAGGTGAACAGAAAGGTGTGTGCTGGAGTAGGGTTTACAGGGATTAAGGGAGAAATTAGAGACCTTTTCACTCGGTGGACAATAAAGTTATATGCAATCCCATTCTAAGAGACTATCGAGCAGAGCACCAGATGGACACAGAGCAACAGACAGATGTTTTGCAACTCAAGGTAACGTCATATTACTGCAACACCCTGCTTCTTTACAAAGGGTATGACAGGCGTATGCAGGTCACAAGACATGAAAATACAACCACTATTTAGTACTAAAAAAGCGTCGCTTGTGTATCCGGAAATGCTCCTTTCTCATTTGAAAACAGTGTAATAAAGACTGAACTCAATAGTACTGGCAAATTATGACGAAACTAAACTTCAGATTTGCTAGCTAGCAAGCTAACATCAGGAGTAAAGTTTACAAAGTAGCTTCAAACAACTGTTAGCAACAGGACTCTGGCTAGCGTTGTTACCTTAACCGCAAAACTACTAGCTCGTTTTAGCTTTGAAGCCAGGTAAAAAGTTATACACATTGTAAATGCTCTTTGTAGAGGTAAGTGGAAAACTATCGTTTGATTAAATCACTAAACTCCACTTTGGTTAGCTAACATAACGTGAACGTTAGGCCTGATTGGGAAAGTTTTCACTTGTTAAAACAGACATAATAACTCCAACAATGCTTGTCAAAGAGAATTAGAAAATGTACGACCGTGTTGATAATGTTGCTCTCGGTTTCTGTTGAAGTGATGTCGGTGTTACCGATCACAGCCACTTCTTCGTTACTTCCAGAGTCTGCCATCATCCCCCGGCTGCCGAGCTGCTGCTGTTGTCAGCTGAACTGGCAGAGCAGTGGTTCCTTTGGTCTGCGCATGCGCGTCTAGGACTCAGACTAGTGATCACTTTATAGTCTAGCTAGCAGGAAGGGCCATCAGATTTTGAGATAGCCCTACCCGAGGTAGAACAAAACACAACAATGATTTTTCTTATCTTTAGGGTCTCCCATTAATTAAATTGATTGTTGTCAAATTTTATTTTGGGGGGAAAAAATATGTTTTGGTTGTTCTTTAGAACTACCCCAATCCCTGAAAAAGAGCCAAATTAGACCAGGCCGAATATGGGAAAGGTGACAAAAAAGCCCATAACTTGAGAAGGATCACTCTTTTCCTCTTCAGATTTGCTGAGGTATGACAGGTGGCTGTCCTACATCACCAAATAGTCTGACAATTATTTACCTAAAAGAATACTGAATTATAGTCCTGTAAACTTAGCTTTAGTTTAGACGGGAATTGTAGCCTACTTTTTGGTGATAGGAACACAGGACTCAATCACTTTTCTCTCATTTATCAGAAAAACAGAAATCCCTAAAAAATATACCATTAGTTATATTGCAAATGAGATTTATTTAGGCCTACCTCTTCTCTGATACAGTCAAATTCCGAATGGGGGATACGTGGCATAATAGCCTATAAGTTAAGAATGCTCACTCTGATGCATCATCATATTTGGAGAGGGAAATACCAGGTGGCTGAACTACATCACCAAATAGTCAGAATAAGAGTAACCCAATAAAATAAAGTGTATTAGTTCTAAATTGCAACCCTCTAAAACATAGGTGTAAATAGTACAGGTTTTATTGAAACTGGAACCTTAATTAAAAGTACAGTATACAAATCAATCATCACATAATTCTGTGAGAGGTCAAGTATATAGATACTAGAATAGAATGTTAAATGTCAGGTTCCTCAGAAACGTTACGGGGACACATGTTGACATTCTGCACAGCAGGTGCAGAACTCCGTACAGGGAAGGCACTGGCACTTTCCACTCTCTCCACACTTTGCATCTTTGCAATACAAGTGAGTAATGTCTCTCACTTCTGTAGGTGCTGGGGGTTTTGTAAATAGCACTGGTTGAATGGCCCCATCTCTGACAATCCACCCCTTGCCAATAGGACTCCATAACAAAGGTTTGGGTTCGGGCTGTGACACCATATCACTGTCTGAAACATTGCTCTTTGTACATGTTGTTGAAATGCTTCCTCTGTTGGCGGCAGATTTTCAGAGGCTGCATCTGTTTTTGATGCAATTATGAACCTCAGTTCATCCAAGTTTGTGCACATCAGTCCATTTTCCTTTTTCTTTTTTCCATTTAGCAGAAGCGCAAATTCTCTTGCGACTGGCAAAGACTCTTCCAAGCTGGCAGAGAGTCCAAAATGTGCCAGATCTTTGAGATCGCTGAGATGGGTCTTGAGTTTGGTGAATGCTGTTGTCTTTCCTATTCTGTACAAACTACTTGTTGTGCCACAGCCAGTGAGTGCATGACATGCTGGTAGACAGTTAGACATGTCTTTTCCAATTTTCTCACATATGGTGTTGATGGGGACATATCTCTCTCATTCCATGGCCTGCATGCATGTACACTAGAGATGAACCAAACATGTATTTGCTTGCATAATATATGAGCAGTACTTCCACATCTGTGTCATCAGACCTCACAATGATGCGGGAATATGACTCTGCAAGATGTATGGCATGGAGCACCATCCTTGTGTTTGCCTCCTCCTGATCAATGTACAGTGATGTAAAACTGCTGACTCCTGCTGTGCAGATACTCTTCACCTCCTCCCCTTCGTCAAATCCTGAGTGTAGTCTCTGTGGGGCAGCAGTGACAATGTAGTTGCTCACAAACATGCACAGTGCAGTCTTGTTTCCACTACTCCTCAAGTACTTCCTGTAGTTTGGATCAGCTGAAGCGACTTAGCTTACTTCCTGTAGTTTTGCTTTAGGTTATAACACTTGTGTTATTCTTCAGAGCTGGGTGCTCATTACAGGTCTGCACTTTTTTAAATGCACCTGCATTGACACACTCATTCACAAAATCATACAGAGTGTTTGGCACATATTATATATATATATATATATATATATATATATATATATATATATATATATATATATATATATATATACTGTATATAGAAACAAGAACAAAATAAATGTGTGGTCATGGTATTTGACAGGTATGACGGCCCACAGTCAATCAAAGACCTGGAGAGACAAAGGAGAGGTGCAAGTGATGGAAGGCCTACACATGTTATCACTGGCAAAACAAATGTCCCAAACTACAGGACAGCGATATGGTGTCACAGCCCGAACCCAAACCTTTGTTATGGAGTCCTATTGGCAAGGGGTGGATTGTCAGAGATGGGGCCATTCAACCAGTGCTATTTACAAAACCCCCAGCACTCACAGAAGTGAGAGACATTACTCACTTGTATTGCAAAGATGCAAAGTGTGGAGAGAGTGGAAAGTGCCAGTGCCTTCCCTGTACGGAGTTCTGCACCTGCTGTACTGAATGTCAAAATGTGTCCCCTAACGTTTCTGAGGAACCTGACATTTAACATTCTATTCTAGTATCTATATACTTGATCTCTCACATAATTATTTGATGATTTGTATACTGTACTTTTAATTAAGATTCCAGTTTCAATAAAACCTGTACTATTTACACCTATGTTTTAGAGGCTTGCAATTTAGAACTAATACACTTTATTTTATTGGGTTACTCTTATTCTGACTATTTGGTGATGTAGTTCAGCCACCTGGTATTTCCCTCTCCAAATATGATGACCATCAGAGTGAGCATTCTTAATAGGCTATTGGCTATTATGCCACTTATCCCCCATTCGGAATTTGACTGTATCAGAGAAGGGGTAGGCCTATGTCTAAAGAAATCTCATTTGCAATATAACTGTACCAGATATTTCCATACAACTACTTGTTAGTGTTCAATAGCACCCTAGACAATTCAGTAATGGTATATCTTTTAGGGATTACTGTTTTTCTGATAAATGAGAGAAAAGTGATTGAGTCCTGTGTTCCTATCACCAAAAAGTACAATTTCCGTCTAAACTAAAGCTAAGTTTACAGGACTATATTCAATATGTTTTTAGGTAAATAATTGTCTGACTATTCGGTGATGTGGGACAGCCACCTGGTTCATACCTCAGCAAATCTGAAGAGGAAAATAGTGATCCTTCTTAAGTTATGGGCTTTTTTGTCACCTTTCCCATATTCGGCCTGGTCTAATTTGGCTCTTTTTCAGGGATTGGGGTAGTCCTAAAGAACAACCCAAAAAACATTTTTTCCCCCAAAATAAAATTTGACAACAATCAATTTAATTAATGGGAGACCCTAAAGATAAGAAAAATCATTGTTGTGTTTTGTTCTACCTCGGGTAGGGGTATCTCGAAAACTAAAGCCTTTTTTGAGGACTTGCTGCTACTAAATCATCTAAATCAGTGTCCAGTCGATCAACACATAGACTTGAATTGAACACACATAATATTAAATAATATAATAACAATAATAATATGAATATCAATCATATTAATAATACTAATAATTCATTTAAACAAAGAAATGTGTCCGGACACTGCTGCAATCTTACAAATGACCATTATTGTATCTATCCATAGTGTAAACTGTTTCATTCAGCCCAAAATTAATTATCTTGTGAAAATAGGTATTACAAAGGTATAGGATGAGCCAACATCATTGTGGTTTAAAATGTTTCCCGTTTGAAGATCAATTGATGGTTTCTGAACGTTTGCATGCAGCTGGGCTGAATTGGTGAACCCATTACCCCCCTTGGCAACATTTGCATCTTCATTTGAGGCCTTCCTCTGGAAAGGCTGACATCTACTGGTCGGATTTTGGTTTGACATTTTTTTATTTTCCCTTTTGCCTTTATAGAAAACTGATATTGTGTGATTTTTTTATGGGGGCTACTCTAGAAAAAATAATGACCCTTAAATGTTTGTGAATGCACATGCCTATTGATTCAGTTTATAGAATGACCAAGTAATCAAAACCAGATATAGAGTGATACCTGTGTTGACAACCGATCCTAAACAGTCATTATACATTGATGCGTGGACATGCTATCAGACATCCTTTAGAATGATGATGATGAGGGGTTTCTCTTATCATAACAATCAGATATTACATCATACACTTATGAAACGGCACACATTATATTTTTGTTCAGAATTGTATCAATGCTTTCACAGTGTTTGAAAACAAAATTCTCAAAAAGGTGATGAATTTCCAAATGTTGTTGATATCATTTGGCCCCTCTCTCATTGGTTTTCGATGGTTGTGGGCCCAGATTTGAATGAGAGGGATGTGGTTTGCCCCAGGCTAGTAAACAGCACAGAAACACGGCCTTTTAGTTCCTGTGGTCACGCTGTTGTGCAGCGTCTAATGTTTAAAGAGAAGGGTGGAGCAGCATTTAGTAAGGAAGCATTTTATATAGATGCCACTGGGCATGGAATGGGGTGTTGTGGGGTGGATGAGAAAAAGACCAAAAAAGATGCAAGGAAATCATACAAACAGGTATGAAGGTGAGATTAATTAACATAATGGTTAATTATGAAATGATTAATGACATGGATGCAGCAGGTATGGGCAAATTGATGGAGTGATGCTTGGATGCGGTTTCAGGCTGCAGCGTGTCAGGAAAACCAAAGGTCTGTGCTGTGCCCGACCGTCGTCCCAGCAACAGCATAGTTACCATTCTTTCCTGCCACGGACCTCAGACCAACAACCACCACTTCCTGTCCTCACATACGGGCACACAGACACAAACATACACGCAAGCACGCACGCACGCACGCACGCAAGCACGCACGCACGCACGCACGCACGCACGCACGCACGCACGCACGCACGCACGCACGCACGCACACACACACACACACACACACACACACACACACCTATACCCCTATTTGGCTTACTATAAACGTCCTTTTGACAACTTTTTCAAACCCTCTGACAAAGGTTCTTGGACACTTAGCTACAATAA